TGCGAGGGCTACACTGACAGCATACTACCAGAGCAACTCATCCCGCTCTGTGGGTCGCATACCGCTCAGCTCCCCGCATGGAAGCATAGCGCGCAGCCGGTTAGGCCCCGTCGTACCTCGTCGATGAGCGTTCCTGCCAAAAGGTGAGTAGGCACGGACGTGGAACGATGAACGATGCGTACATTTGCTACACTCGGATCGTCAGACAACCCTCGTCGCAGAAGGACGCTGGTCGTATATTGCGGTCAGGCTCGTTCCGCGTAACGCGCTCTGTTCGGTCCGGGGCATGGAAGAACAGCGCTCCGCTGGGTGGGGCTGATCATACGTCGGCGGTAAGTCACTACCAACTGTGAGTTAAGATTGATTGGAACTGGTAAAAGATGCTCACCTTCAGCAGACGACAACAGGTAGGCGGCTTGACTCGTTCTCAGAGCAGATCGCTACGAAGACCGACGCCCTGCCTGCCACGATGATCGTCAGAGCCGAGTTTGTTGTAACTGGAACGCTTACCAGGTATTCTGCGCTGCTATTGGGCACGGCATGGAGCGTTCGTGGACTGAGATGCATAGTTGGCTGTTTGCGCTGTTTGAGGTGGCCCGAAGCTAGTTGAGTGGTGTGAAGTTTGATGAGTTGAGCCGCGTTACTTACAGTTGGGTTATTTGAGGTCGCGTATCTGTTTGTAGGGTCACGTACGTTGCTTATGACACTTTAACGAAACCGCGCACTTCGTCGTAAGGTCTCCCCGTGAAACAGACGTGCTGCGTGACCTAGCGTACTTATGCGGCGACGAGTTCAGTTGTTTGAACGGCTGCAAAGTGAGGCGGAGTGAGAACCAAGTGGCCGTTCGCCGCAGAGGGCACACGTACTGCGTTCGCCATGTGGTTAGTGCCCTGCGTCTTCAAGATAGTCTGCTCGTCCATTACGCTGACAGGTTTGTCTATTCTCACAGTGTGGCAAGTCAGTATCGTAGCACGGTACTCAGGAATGTCGACGCACCCGTTCAAGGCCAGCCCCATCTGTCATAGCGCCTTTGAAGGTGGCGGTGAGGTCGGTCCCTCCACCAGAACACGCGGTTCGGCGCCATGAGCAGCGAAAGAGTCGTCATCGAAGCAGCGCTGGTATTTGAGGGACGGGCGAGGTGGAGGTGCGCGCTGGCCACAAAGCAACCAGGTAGCGTGCCCCTTCAACGGCAGACGAATTCTTGCTGCTCTTCCGCTTCAAACGCCGTTGTTGACGGTCCAGGTTGTCGAGTGGCGTTGTCGGGGGACTGGAAGCGGGCGGGAGATGAAGGTGGGTGGCGAGCCACTCGCGGATGTGGCGAGCCAATAGCGGGCACAGATAGGTGGTATGTCCTCCTTGCCGCGCCGAACACGCATCGAGGACCACAGCTGACGCGTAATAAGCCCAGGTGAATGGGAAGCTTGTCCTGCCGGGGACATCGATGCACAAGGAGAAGCGCTATGCGCGGGAGGGAGAAGACGACGCGTTTGCGAGGCGGAGGTCTGCGCGTATCGAGCGGGCTCGCGTCGCCTTCCTGGGCTGGTATGCACCTTCCAGTCGGTTCACCCGAGAACAGGATTGCGATACGGCTGGTGACGGTACAGTGGTTGGTGACTGCAAGTGTCACAACAAGTCCAGGCGCGGTACGCCGTCCACGCACCCCGCGCTCGTATCGAACGGGTCCATATCGACCTCGGGGATTCGTCTGCACCTCCAAGTCGGCTTTCCTTGACGTAGGTCGGGCCGTACCGTGTCACTGCTCTCGAGGCTCGATTTCCAGTGACTGGGAGTGTCACGGCCATTCGAGGCGCGACGCGAGGTCCATGCGCACCTGCCAAATCTGGAAGCCCTTGTGTTCTCTATCCGGACAATGGTGCGCCGTTTCCCTGGCGACTTTTTGCCTCCCCGTTCTGCGGGCCAATCACAGCAGCCAGCGCAGCGCAGGGAATCGCGCCGAAGTGTCTGCTTGCGCGGGGGAGGGAGCGGGCGTGACAGACGTCGGCTAAGCGAGGTGCAGGCGGGGGCCCCGGACGTTACCACGCTCAGATATCTTGGGATGCCAGTGTTTGGCTCCCGTCGGGTGTTTGTTTGCGCATAAATTCGAACGTCCGCTCCGCCGTCGCTCTCTCTTCCTAACCATTACCATCTGCGCGCTCCCCCCATATCCTCTCGCGCCCTACTACACATCCCCGCCTTCCGCTTCCGCAATATCGTCGTACCTGCATACAAAATGCCCCTTTACATCAACGACTTCCTCCCCCAATATACGAATGACGTTCAAGCTCTCCCTAGCTCGTAAGTTCTGAAATGTCGTCCCAACTTCCTTCGACATCACTGACAGACCAACTTCCAGCTCCTCCACATCGATGAGTGAGCCTCTCAAAGATATCTGGTCAACTGGGCGAGAGCCTTCTCTCGCCTACGACGCTTCCATAGATGAAATAATGTGAGGATCCCAGCGCTTTGCGCAGCTTCTCGGTTTACTCACCCTCTGTTCCATCCAGGGAAGCGCATCCATATGTCGACTTCCTGGCTGATCGCCCGTGCGCGACAGCGGATCGGCTCGCACGAGCAGAGAGCCCCGCCCCTCCCCTTGAATGGGAATTCCGGCCTGATCTTCCTGTCCTGCCGTCCATGCCCATTCCGCAGGCGGACACATACGCACAGCCGGCGCCGGCGCCGCCCTCCAGCAATACGCTCGGCACCGACTCTACCCCAGCTGCCGAATCTTCTGCGGGCGACGAGCCCGCGCGTGACGATGAGGGCCGTCGCCCGACCAAGAGGGCGAAGTACGAGGGGCCGGCGAGGCACAAATGTATATGGCGGTTTAAGGATGGTTCCCGGTGCACCTGGGAAGGGACTGCACAGGCGGGGTGGGATCATGTGCGCAGCACGCACAACCTCGCGCACCTCACCCGCCCGGAGCCGCCCCAAGCTCCCGTGCAGTGCGGATGGGGTGGGTGCCCGTTCCGCGGGCTTCCCGAGGCTACCTACCAGCACTGGCGGGCTGCGCACCAGCCGACCATGGCGAAGACGAAGACGGCGGGCGAGGGCGGCGCGAAGCCCAAGACGCAGTGCGGGGTGTGCTCTCTGGTGGTGCGTCGTGCGAACCTGCTCAAGCACCTAAAGCACACGCACTGGGGGTTTGAGAAGTGGTGCGACGGCTGTGGGCAGAAGTTCCGGCCGGACGTGTTCGACAAGCGGGCGCGCGACCACCGGGGCGATTGTCTGGGGGACCTCATGCGGTACAGCCCTCACTTCCGTCGTTAGGCATGGGCTCTAGTGCTACGACGCTCCCGGTCGTCGTCGTTGGGTTTTTATGTTGTTGTGTTGCTCTCGAGTTGTCACCTATGTTACTCATGTTGCCGTTTGCTGTATCGCTCTGAATCTGTACTCTTCTCACCATAGTCTTGCTCTGATCATGTAATTGCTTTCGATGTAGCGCTACATATGTACATAGATAGATGTTTTTGTGCGTTGTACGTGGCTGAATCTGTCTCTGCGCTGCGACCACCGCAATTGCGAACCACGACTCGGATGAGGGACGTGCTTTAGCCCTGGTCCAATAGCAGCTCGCCAACGCCTCCGCTTAAGTACGTCCTCAGACTGGAGCACTGGACCGCCGCAGAATGATAGCATCAACCTGACACGCCCAGGAACAAAGTCAGCGAGTGTGCTGCAAGACACATATTATTCATCCTCCGCTGGCCTTCCTTCCTGACACTTGGACACTTGGTGTGTCCTACTCTCCATGGAATGCGTCGACTGGGTCATTGGCCCGCGCTGGCAGATATGCTGCACCGAGAAGACAAGGCTGAGTTCGTGACTGTGGTTGAAGGCCCTGGACAATGGTGGACCACAGTCTCAGTAACGCATCGTAAATGACTGCCAAAGACCTTACCGTATCATGGGTTTTCCATCTTCGGGGATACACGTCCCAGGAGGGCTCTCGCGCCCGACAGAGTCTGGAACGGGACATAATGGCGAGATGAGTGCCATATCAATGATGGTAAGGTGGACGCACAGCGTACCGACGGTAGTAGCGACGGGTTTCGACACTACACGCTTTCTGTAGAGTGTACCCTACGTGGATAGATGAGCGGATCAGCACATCGCGGCGACAGAGCAACTTTGATTACTTCCCTTTGCGAAGTTGGCATTACTTCGTGACCGATTTGCCTCAAGACGTGCGCGCTACATCATAAGGACTGCGGTCGCATCCAAAGATGTTTTGGAGCCATCTAGGCTAGATGGGTGTATGCGAGCAACGAGACTTCGCCCACGACCGACCCACAAGACGAACAGGCCGAATAGAGAGACCTTGACTCGACGTAGTCGCGCGCGAGTTTCGGCACCAAAATGAGGCCGACTCCGCCACCTGTCAGCAAATAATATGGTCCCTCGAGGATGTCCAGGTCTCACTCTGTCCCGCCTTCACCACCGCATCCGGTCACATTGAACTATCGTCCATTAGCTCTACGAAGTCGTCAATGTGGCAGGGGGAGCGATATGTTTGAGGATCCCTCGTAATATCACGTGCGTATCCGTCTCTCCGTGAGTCCGTTTCGTACTCGACGATGCCGATGAGCTCTGCGAGACGTCGGTGTGCTGTGGACAAAGGCGTGGCAGTCGGCGAGCGCCCATGACTAAGCGTGGCTTACTGTGTGCAGTTCGACGAGCTCGAGAGGCATGCCCGCCACGTCACTGGATGAAATGCCACCATGCGCCTGTGCCCTAACTGAGACGTGTCAGGGAAGTAAAGAGGCATGCAAGAACGGATCTGACCTTGTCCGCGAATCAATTTGAGCTGTCCCCGCCGTGCTGAGGGCCATCCAGTTGCGGGCGACGCGACGGCGTCAGTACCCTTGCCTGGCACTCGGGTTTCGAAGAGTGCATACACAAAATAGAAGTGAGATCGCGAACACGGAGTACGGTGACAGCGAGACCCACATACGTCAACATCCCACAGATCCCGAGGCGTTGCCGATCGTGCAGTCCCAGCATGAGATGGATGTACACATGTAGACGCGTTTTGACGGGTCATGATCCGCCGACGCCACTTCTGCGACAGAACACAAGATGTGCGACTCAGACGTCGCTGCGATCGGAGCCAGCCCCACGATGGGACAGAAGGCGGGGCGCCCATGCGATCAAACTGTGGACGCATCGAGTGGATCCTTCTGAGTGGGTGGTGTCAACGCGGGGGCAATTCATGGGCCGCGGAAGCAACACACCTGTCAACGGCCGTCCGTGGAAGCAGCGACGATCCTTTGTGACCGGCCGATCCCAGACGCCGAGGGATCGTCGCTGTCATGTGCCATGCGGGGACGGCGGTGTTTGGAGTTGCTCTCCGGCGACGGGCCTGGCTCTGGCAGCTCGACACCTCCGATGTTTGGTAGGGCGTCCCACCGTGGAGGTCTACGTCGCGGCTTCGTTAAGCAGAGAAGAGGCTTCCACGTCCAGTTAGCAGCGGATATCGCACCCAAGATCGCTGATAATTATAGCGTGAGTTGTTTCCTTGTCCACTCCGAGGGTACTTACACAGTTGCACGGTGTCTTACACCAGCTAGACGCGTGCCAACTCCAGACATAAGTACTGAGTATTATCGTGTAGGCTCCTACACAACGTATATACCTGTGGGTGGCAAAGTAAGCTTCGACAACTTAGACCCGTTATATGTGCTCACCACGAGTAAGTAGTGACATGACCCGTGCCAGAAACCGAGCAGACGCGCTCGATCGCGCCGGTTGGTGTTCGTCACGTGAACGCACCAGCCAATGAGTGTGCTCAAACGACGCTGTTCTGCCTTTTCGGCAGAAAGTCCGATCCACGGGGAGAGCCGTTGCGTGCAACGCGTTGCGCGCAACGCGCAACGTCACGCAAGTCACGGTGTGGCTCGTCGGGCGAGACAAGGGGTTACTACGGGACAGTTGGTGTATACATATTGGCAAAAATAACACCAGACCACTTCGCACTTCGCTCCAGCTAGATATATACAGACCTAGAATAAGAGCTAATACGACCTCAGTCTGCAGAGCTGGGAGTGATTCGCACTGTGACTCAACGCGCCACATGTCGCTTATGTAATTTCTCGGGCAATGCATCGCGATTCGCTCGGTGGCCGAAATTGCAACTTGGCCGAGAAAACGCCATGCAAGGCCTTTCTTGCGTAGGAAATAGCACACATTCCAACCACTCAATATCTTCAAACTGAACAGGCTCACCACAAGTGGACTGTATGGGGATGTGGCCACAGCGCCTCGTCGCATGTCCTTATTTGGCAAGTCATCTGTCACCGACAGGCTACACACAAGACACATTGACAGTAGCCTGTTGTATTTAAGAGTACCATTCTATTCCTCAGTTTGTAACCGAAGCTTTATTTTCATTTCCAATGTCATAGCCACACGGAGGCGGGACTAGTTCGTAGGCAACATAAGTAGGTTACTTACCCGCAGTGGGTGCATGTCACAGCGTGACTAAGTGACTGTTGCACGTTGCACGTTGCGCGTTGCGCGCAACGCCCCTCCCAGTCGATCGAACGTTCTCCTTTTCGGGCAGAGAGCGGGGAGCGCGGCGTTGTGCTGGCAGAAGCGCCGAAGGTCGTCTCCAGGTCGTCCGCTCCCAAGAACTTGAAGCGAGCATGCCTCAAGATGTCCTCCGCACCCAACGTTCTTTCGTTTATCGCAGTCCTTGCCACCACCACAAGTTTGCCATGCTCTTGTGACTCGGTTGCCCGCTCGCCTTGTGTGCCCTCGGTTGGAAGACAAGATATCGTTGCTCGACCATCCAGCCAACGCGATAGATGTCGATGCAGGGAGCGCGGCGATGGAATGCGGGTACGGACCTCCGAATCCACGTCGGGTAGGGGATGGTGACGCGCTTCCTCGTGTCTAGTTGTATCGGTGAGTGAGTGCCTTTTGCTCAGCCCCAAGAACGACGTCGCACCCTTGATTCCGGTGGTCTTTCTGGCACGTCCCTTTGCGTAGATGGGTGTAGTCTCCCTGCGCTTGTTCGGCACCCGCAGCTGTGCCTGACGAGAACAGTGAGACGACAGCCTAATACGCGAATATGACTGGTACCTGCCTGATCTCTGGGGGAAGGGCGCTGCCCGAATGAATGCGTGCTGGAGACAGGAATTGGCAGTGAGTTGCACAGGTCATTGGGGTCGTAGACGTCGAGGCGCTACGTGTGACGTGGCAGCTCACATATGCGTTTCCTCGTTCGCTGTGGGGTGTAACATCGACGAACGACCGGGGGTGTGCGAGGGCACAGAGGATGTCTCTGCGCAGCTGACTTCGTTACCCTGTCTGAATGTCACTGTTCAGCGCTCAGCCGGTCGCGACAATGGGCTATGAATGTCTACGGCGTTTTGGCCAGTGGAGGGAACTGCAAGTGGTAGCGGTAGCCGTTTTTCGACAGCTCAGTGCATAGATCGATCGTGGCGTGTTGATCATGTATGTCTGGGTGGCCCCGTACCGGTCGGTGGATCTGACGCTCGGAGTTCGGTAGATCGCGCACAAATGGAAGGACCTCGGGTTCCGTACGACAACGTGCAGCTGAACGGGGGTTGTTCACGTCGACCGTGTCGTCTTGTCTTGCGTTGTAGAGACAAGCCTTTGAAGGCTCCTAGCATCCGAGCCGTCGTGTGTGTGCCGTCGTCGAGAACGTCGAGGATCTGTTCTCGGATCCTCATTTTCGAAGGCGTAGAATCAGGAGTTTTCGCAAGGGCTAGTGTTGCGTCGACAGTGTGAGTACGTGCTATCACAAACACTGTGATTATGACTCTGACGCACTGGGGTTCGCAAGATACAGATGCTCCCTCGGCCTTTATATTCCACCATCCAACGATCAATTCCTCAAATACGGAAGGACAACTCGCCGAAAGGGGCGGTACGAGTGCGCCACTCGTGTAGGGGTGTGCAGGAGGTCGCCAAAGGCTCTGTGATTGTCTTTGTGCTCGGGTTGCTGAGGACGTCCGCTCGGAGCATGAGATCCTCTGAAGACGGCGGGAGCGTGAAGACAAGGGTGAGTGAGTTTCAGAGGGCCACTCCGGGAACGTCAGAGCGGCGCATTGAAGTGTGACCACAGGGAAGAAGCACAGCCGCTCCCTCGAGGTTTACTCTCGCCACTGGTCTGCGACGCCACTCAAGACGCGTCAGCGGGACCCGGGGAATAGCGTGTTGATCTCAGACGGTCCAAGCGGCCACAACAACCAACGCTGCGGCCGTCCGTGGACAATCGTGAAAGTTGCGGTGGATTAGGGCGTGGATCATTGCGGTGTAAGGCCTGTTGAAGAGCTGACATTCTGCGGTATACTGGCAGGAGCAAACGGGGCGGACGCGGCGCGACGGCGCGACGGGGACGTGACAGGGCGGGCGAGCGCGTTGTTGCATGTTGTTTGCGCCTGTACTACAACTATTTAGAAGCGTGTTCGAACCGTGTGCGAGGCCACCTATCTTGTCTCACACTTTTGGTGTCTTTGTGCGTGCGTCTGCGCGGTTTGACAGTATCCGCCATCACCTTGTACAATCGACGCGTTCTCATCTGCTACACTACCATCATGGCTCAACACTTCGATCAATACTTCGCTCAACACTTCGCATACAATCTCAATGCTCACCTTCACGCTTGTGGTGATTGTTTCCCTACCTGGAACCAGCAGCCGAGTGGCGCCCCGGTCGCGACTGCGTCTTCTCTTAGCAGCGACACCACATTGGAGGGGTTCGCGATGCGCTTCCGCGATTGCGCCCATAGAGCGCTAGGAAGGGAGAACGTGGGCGCATCACCGAGCATATCCTGGTACGTCTGTTCTTACTTCTGGGGTATTCGTCCGTTCATGTTCATAATCCCCTCAGGGCCACATCCATCTCCTCGCCCTCAGCCATGTTCTATCACCATGTCCCTGACGATGTGGCATCTACGTCCGCGGTGTCTTGGACAAGTGCGAGAACCACGGAATCGCCGCCTGGACCTTTCCAGAATAGGTATGATTGCTGCTAAGAATGACCGAATATTTACTCAACGTGCTTTGCTACGCTAGTATGGCGGCATTCGAAAGAGACTACAGTGTCACAAAGCGACTCTCCCCGGTCATGTCGACCACCTCTACTCCTGGCCTGACGACGGCTTCGGAAGCAAGCACCCCGAGCGCGTCTTCTGCCACATCGACCAACTCCAATGCGGCGGCAAGCCCATCGCGCACATTCGCGTTCACCGAGGGAGCGCATCATCTCCCGTGAGTCTCTTTAGGTTCATTACATGGCCAGCGGAGGACTCACCACCCGGTTGATCAATAGTGCAATCCCAACATTCCCGCCACTCGTCTCGTCGAGCTCGACGAGCTCACAGCGGCAGGTTGCCTCGTCCTCTCCGCTGACACTGGACGGGCCGTCTCGAGACCCCTCGCAACCAGTATCCGCCGCTATGCACATGCAACGCAAGCGTTCGCGAGATCAGACGGAGGACGACGGTGAGGACTCAGAGCACCCTGCAAAGGCACTACGGACTGGTCAGGCTCTGGTCCAGCACGCGACTGAGCCCGGTAGACAATGCACCGGGTGCGACTTCATTGGATCCCCGGAGCATGTCTGGGCCCATTGCAAGGCCCATCAACCCAGCGCAGCCTCTGCGCCCATTCAGCCCCTCCACACGTGCAACTGGTGGGGCTGCGAGTTCACCGGGACCACCAGCCAAGTCGTGTCACACTGGAAAGCCGCCCACCGCCCGGACTACGCTACGGACGTGAAGATCAGACAGCGCTGGGACAAAAGGCACGTCGTGGACTGCGCGATTTGCTTGCGCAGGTACGAGGCCGCGCTCGTGGTGTGGGATAGGCAAGACCGGCCTGAGGACGCGATGCCCCCGCGTCCGAGACGCCTCAGCCCTCGTAGTCTGGAAGGGCATGCTACGCGGCGCCATTGGGTTTTGCCCAAGACGTACGAGTGGTGCGAGCCGTGCCGCACCTGGGTGTGGAAGGACACATCGAGGTGGGGTAACCACTTCGCTCGTTGTGTGCAGGCGTACATCGTGGAGCACTCTCACTTGCACTGAGGACCCCGCTGGAACGCTGTGAAACGTCCTCGTAGACAGCATTGTCATCCTTTCACATAGCCCTTCATTGTCAATCATAGTGCGTTCCGTTGCTTAATTGCCCTCTCAACAGTCTGCTCAGTCGATCACAAAGCTCGTTCATTATTCAGCACATCGTGCGTTGTCGGAGAACTTTCTCTGCAAAGACGTGTCGCGTAGTTTTATACGGGCGCCGCGTAACATTCAACTCTGTACACGCAAAATACATGTAATCGCTTCGACTGATTGCGAACCTACTGCCTCTTCGCGATGGACTCGTCCCATAGTTGACTATAGCCGGGTACTATGATCGGATTACATTTGGTGACACTGCAGATCGTCGAAGAATTCAAGTTCCTGGATTTGAACTCCTGCACAGATGACTGTTATACACGAATAAGATATCGAGGAACTACAGGACGTGATACACGAGTACGGTTGAACGATGCAAGTACACAACAAACAGCAGCAGTCAGAGCAAAGCGAACAACAACACCGAGAGTAATCACAAGAGCATAGCAACGACAGGGCTACAGAGGAGGATGCGAGGTAAGACGAAACGGCGGATGGACTTATGGAACGAAGTTGTTTTTCATGAACTTATTTAGACAACCACCGTAATGGTCTCGGGTTTTATTCGTCTGGTCCGTGCGTTTGTAACTCCCGCACATCTCGCACCACCGATACATCAAGCCACCGAACATGCAATGTGCGACTTGCATATGCCGGTCGCCGTTGTCAAGCCTCATCGTCTTTGGGCAGAGCTTGCAGTGGTAGATCCTGTCCGCCTCCTTCGTGATGCCCCTCGTGCGGAAGTCAGCTGCGATCACCTTCCTGTGTTTATCCTGCCAGTGGTAAAACCGCGCCTCCTGTGTCCCCTCGAAGGTACACCCGTCCCAACCGCACGCAGCGACCACCGGTGCTGGCTCCGGTTTCGCAGGGTCCTGGTCCGCAGCGTAATGGTCGGCACGGATGTGTTCCCAAATCTCCACCTCGGTGCCTGTCCTGCTGCACCTGCGCTTATCCGCACCCTTCCACCTGCACTTTACAGGAGGACTGGGAGTGGTGGTGTCCACCGGGGTCGGCTGGGGTATGTATGGCGCGGGGCGTGAGCGCGCATCCTCGTCCTCCTCGCCGTCTGTTCTCCGTCTGCGCTTGCGACTGGATCTCACAGGAGCAGGAGGATGCATATCGGAAGTCCCGTTGGGAATCTCGTCGAGTCCACTGTCGAGTTGGTGATGCGGCTGGTACACAGCGTGAACGAAGCTATGCACGAAGTTCCCGTCATGGACGGGCGCCGACGGAACAACGGGTGTAGAGGGCACGCCCGGAGTGTGTGGGTCCGGGTGGGTCCGGAAGGCGTTATATCCTTCCCAGTTTGCGACACGCGTCTCGTCCACCACCCTATTATGCGGAGTAATGGCCATTAACCTCTGAAACGAAGAGAATACATTATGCGGCTACGTACGGGATGTCGAATGGCAGGGGAAGAAACGCAGTGGTCGGGTCTGCTTCTACAGAAGGCCCGGCGTACGTACGGGGGCGGAGCTCACGCCCCTTGGCACGACTGTTAATGATGAGGCAATGCTTGAGACATATTATGTGGACAGAGCGAGACAGTTACGTACGCTGCCTTTCGAGGCCCTCGAACTCTGTGTGATGGAATTGGAGCCTTAGATCCAGAGGATGCCGCCGGCGGGGCGAACGATGGCAGAACCCGTGCAATCTGAGGAGGCTCAGCAGGACCATTGCTCCTGTTAATCACATCAGTAGAGATACAGCAAGCATATCAAGAAACTTACCTGGTCACCATGTCAAACCCATCGTTAGGGTACGTGTAACATCTTACTTCGGGACTCCATGGCTGCTGTTGCAACGCAGATGAACCGTGTAGGGGAGATGTTGCGGGCGGAGGCGACAACGACGACGAGACTGAAGGTATCGTCGGCGGGGAAAACGATGGCAGGACATGTGTCATGCGTGTCGGTTCGGTCGGTACAGTGGTCCTGTTGACCACATCAGCAGAGAAACTGCAAGAACATAAAGAAAGATGCGCTGTCAGCCAAGGAAACATAAGAATGTAATTCGGCGCCGGACCCTTCATTGTCTACATCCCCAAGATCCAGCGGTATGCCATCGATGCACAGACTGAGAGGGCCAATAGCCGACAAGCTGTCGAAGACTGGGTCAGGGAGTGATGTGCTGCAAAGCTGTCAGCCATCGAGGTAGTTGAGACCAGCGGTGGAATCTTACCTGTACAAGGGCGGGAAGATATCGTCCTCGAGTTCAAAGAGATCAAGATCAAGACCGAGAGACATGTTGCTGGATACTACAGAATAAAATCGAGTGTGGATATATGAACGAGGCAAGGGTAGAGGGAGTAGGAAGGTTTGGGGGAGGCGCAGGACAGGAGGGCGCAGAAAGGTGATGGTCGTGGGTAGAGTAGCGAGCCGTGTTTGAGTTGGCGCGTGCAAATTAAATACCTCATTTCGCGCCCCGCTGAGTACGCTCTGATCCCACTCTCCCTTCCCGCCCGGCCCCGTCACTCCGCTCGCGCGAACCAGACCCAGCGAACCATTCGGAGCATTACCCTGCTCCGAACAGCCCTCTGCGACAGGCTCGCCCGTCAGAGCCCCTCGCTCTCGCCCCAGAGACGACATGCGCGACTGCCCGCATCGAGACCAAGGCATATCCGGATTTGGGAACTGCGCACAGACCCCAGCACCGACGGCCTCTTGCCGCGACTTGCCGCGGCTTCCTCAGCCATCGGCCGCCAGCCTGCCCTCGATATCTGAGCTATCTCGCCACTCCGGACTCGACGACGACCAGTTTTGGGGTCTCTGCTGCCCGAGGTCGACGACAATCCCTCCCACGTTCCAGTGGCTTCGGTGAGAGGGTACCACTCGGCAGCAGCCGAGCAGTCGTTCCATCCTATGGCTCTTCCAGCAAGCCTCGTCCTCCCAAGAGGCGGTCAGGTCGTATACACAGTCTCTGAAGCCGAATATCAGTCCATAGTCACATCCAAACGAGCTTGGCGCACTACAATTTCTGTCGCCACCTCGAGTGGCTCACTCTCTACCGCCACCTTCACGCACCCTGAACGCTCCTACGTTGTTGCCTGTGTCTTCTGCCACTCCGGGACGAGCGGCGCATCGATAAAGTAAGCGACATGCCTGCTCATTGTGCGACTTATTCAACTTACACGTCGTGCAACTGACATAGGCGTGGCACTCACTTTCGAACCATCGACGGTCATCCTTTGCTTAATGGCATTGTCCTTCCCAGGCCCATTGACGACGATAGCCCTGGAACTACGAGACGGATTTGTGGCCTGAACGCCGTTACGAGCACAGCCTTGCATCGTTCATTACGCTACTTCATCACGACTCGATTCTTCCCACCTTCTCTTCTGCATCGTGGCCAACGCCCGCCCCCGTCGTCCTTATCCACCAAGTTACCTCGATGCTATACGACAAGCTCAGTCTCGCTGTCTATCTGGCCAAACCGGACGTCGCTCACCTATGGAAACGTCTGACAGACGAGCATCCGTGTGCATCCGTCCGCGATGGTCTCACATCTTTCCTGAGTACACCGTACTCGTTACGCTATTTCCTCACACATAGACAGCGACGTGAGTTGGTTAGATCATTCTCACTTCCTTCAAACAATGGACTGACCTTTGTACAGGTTGGCGGGTAACCTAGATCACTGAACACTGCCTGGAAGAAACAAAGATCCACACAACAACACCACGTACCGCGAGCTGGCATCGTCGTGGACAACTACCACGCATCTGGTCGTGTTGCCTCATCCTGGCTCCAGTGATGTCTTGGTATCTCGACATACCTACGAACTTCCAAGTTCTCCCTGCACCCTATGTACTAGCAGCAGTTCAGCCCCTCATGATTTGCATAGAGCCGTGAAGGCCGCCCCTGTTGAAGGTGAGCATCTTCAGAGAAGCAGATACCGTCGTCTCACGAGCTCGCGCAGAGTCGTAAACACATCGGAGACGCGTGCGTAACGACCGTGCCCAAACATCCAACAAACCGCAGATCACGACGATGCCAGGGAGCTTGACCATCCTCCGCAAGTGGTGCTGCTCAGAGGACGACCAGAACCGATTCACGGCTCGCACACCTGATCCTGTACGACTAGCAGATGTGGTCGAGACATCACGGCCCGAGATCCTAGTTCCCCACGTCCACAACGGGGTCTGTACTTTGGAGCAGAGACGATGAGCCCCCCCGCGCTCCAACTTCGTGCATAACTCGCCCTGACACAGTGACCCAGCGCATGCAAGGGCGCTTTCCTCAGACACTGCGTACTGAGGCGAGCACCACAGCAGTCTCGTTCTCTCGTTCATATGGAACGAACCCCGAACGCCCGCCGCTCGGCCTGATCGCATTACGCCTGTCACGACATACATACTCGTCGGTGATCGTGTCATCGTTCAACCGATGGATGGTTCGACTTTCCTTGGCAAGGGTTTCTCTGCGTGCTCGGGTCAGCACGAGTTGACAAGGCATTTGAAACCATGGCCGACGGCGAACCTCAGGCCTCGGAATGGCCAGCGGAACCGCTGACCAAGGGTCTATGGGCAATCTTCGACCAAGATCTTCGCGGTATCCGGTGTACTGAGGCTCCGACACCGAAACACAATCGCAAGCCCTAGCTTACATCCGTCTCGATTCTCATCAATGAACGCACGAGCCTCAAGTACGTCACCTATTGAAGGAGACATCAGCCCGTCGATGTTGAGGATGACGCACCATTGAAACGCATAGGTCCAGAAGGCTATGGGTGGCACGAGTAATCTGGAACGGGGCGATAGGCCTTCGGCGCGCATGCGCAGAGCAAGCACATAAAAGGAGACCGCGATGCCAGGTCCGTCTGCGAGGGCCATTCGTCTTATCCAGTGTCGACTGGGGATCCGGCGCTACGGTGACCTTGCCAGTGCTCATGTCGAGTGCGTCGGTTAACGGGACGTCGCAAAGAGATCTCGTTGCCTAACTGTGCCGCCAGGGGCAGGCGTGATCAGCCAGACGACGTCAAGAATCACGCCGCAACCGGTGAAGGGGTCAGATTCAGGTACAGGTCGCCATTCCGGGCGTGGAAACGAATGACGACTCCACAGGGTCTCCAGGTCGTCAACGATGCGCATCCAGACAACGTTTCCATCCACACCGACGAACAACACATCGTGACGACGCTGGAGGCCCCGCAAGTCGGGAAGTTGAAGTGTACCACCCCTTCGCTCGGCCTATACCCACACCATCATCAAGCGACGACGGGAACGCGGCACGACGGCGAACGGTTCTACCCTCAGCACGTCATGACGACGCATCCATCCTCTTTCCGCGAATAGGATGCTTCGGACATGCAAATTCGATATACACAAGGATAGGCCGCTGACACGTCACCAGGCAACATTCGGGCAGGAACGAACCGATCTGTAACGATGCATCCTGCGGAGCTCCATCCTTACGTTTACGCGTAGCTCGCCTCGTCAACTCACCGGTCAGGAGGACAGCCAGATGCGAGTCACGGGCCAGCGCCTCGGGGTCTAGATACCACAGTCGCACCGAAGTCATCTCCTACCCGTGCAGTACGACTGCCGGGACATGCCATGTCGTGCGGACATGTATCCACATCTGGCCTGTACATGTCCCGATCTGCTTGTCGATGCTCTCCGCACACGATCCACATCGTCGCCCGAGAACAAGGACGAGACATGCCTCGCCTATGACCCCGACCCTCGGGATGGGACACGGATGCGTTAACCAAGGACCCACGACGTAGATTGCTAGAATGAATGCGATACGCAGTGTCCGAGCCAATTATGCACTAGACTATCTGCGCATGCGAAGAACGGGCAAGGTTAACTCGTCACCGCCACTCTTCATGAACCTCGAACAAGCCGACGAACCTAAAAGAGGCCCGCAAGTCGGGAGCCCGCGAAGCCAAGTGCGTCGACGAGGCCGTCTTCCCGCGCACAGAGCAAACTCTGGCATCGGGCACTACAACATCACTGCCAGTTTTCGCAGGACCACACGGATCAATGCACCGATCCTATCTGTGGAAACTCATCAACGACTCGGGAATGAACTTGTCTGGCGCATGAAGACAGCTGGAGCCTGGACAGGTGCGAGTCATTGAGCTTGTGTACAACCTCGTTGGACTTACCTATCGACGCAGGCCCTACCTTATTATGTCGTGCGTTTCTTGGATACGCCACGCGGTCATCTTCGGACATCCGGCGAACCGAGCGCTATCGACCGTCGTGCGCACCGCGCCTTGTCTCACACCTCAGGGGACTATCCAGTCGCCAGAGCGTGAGGTGAGTGGGTCATGGGCAGCAGCATGGCTGAAACAGACTGACCTCTGCGTAAGGTAGCGCCAGGATCTCACCACGATGGGTACGCGGTATACGGGATTGCGAATCTCGCCTCGAAGGATTGAACTATCGTGGAATGTACACAACGCAAGATCTCTACATGAAAACGGCCATGTGAGTGATACTGAAGTTTCTGAGCGCGGCCTGTTACATACTCGCTGCCAGGTGATGCTCCGCGACCTCTGCGGGAACTCACTCAACTCGGGGTAGTGTCCTGGCGTCAAGGCCCGTTTTCGCGAGCTCACGCTCACAGCAGCATATGAGTCATCACAGAGCTGGCAGGCAAGGTCGACCGGAGGGATGCGGTACGAGGAGGAGGAGGAGGAGGAGGAGGAGGAGGAGGAGGAGGAGGAGGAGGGGGTTATCTTTGCAGCAGAGGAGGGGGTTGATATCGTCGCGACACAAACAACAAGATGTATCAGGCGCGGAGGCAGACAAAAAGCTCCAGTCCACGGCGAGGTCCACGGAGAAAGTCAGGAGAAAGTCTTGTGGATGCCCCTGTCCTCGGCCCTCGCTTGCCTCTCCGGTGTCGTGGCGACTCGTTTGGGGGGCGTTGATTGCCGCGTGGAGACCAGTGCGGCCGCAGCGTGGCGGCGAGGATCTGAATCTAGGCACTCGACGCGGGGAACAAGGTTCTTATTGGTGCGTTATTTACCGCGATTTTAGGCACTTAATGACGGCGACATCATTTTCAGGAGCATCATGCCCGAGCAGCGCATCTGAGAACGCCCATGATGTTCTGAAGAATACGTGTATAACTTTTGGCTTCATACTTGAGAACGTGTAAGTCGACAACCCTCTACGTACGGCGGACAGTGGACACTGACGGTGAGGACTGCCCAATATGGTGAGCCATACCGGTGCCACCCGCCGCCCCACTAGCGGAAGTTCGCACGCGCCTATCAGAGCTCTATCTTCCCCACGATCGAAGCCGAGCTCGGCGCGCCTTACCTTTACCGTTACGTTGGACGCAGAAGATCTAGACGTGATGAAAATCCGGGCTCGCCTCAGCGACTTTCGTCGAGCTGTCGAGCGCAACGAGGGTCGATTCTGTCTCCGTCTTGCACATACGCCTCGCACAATGGTCATTGACATTATATCGCATGGTGCGAACACGTGCAGTCTTGTGTCACGTCCTCTGTCGTAAAACGCTAACAACAGCAGGTGGAGGAGCTACAGTATCTCCAGTCAAGCGAGTGCAAGCTCCGCGTATCGATCAGAGATACTTGGATAAATCATCCCGCATACGGTCGGCTGAAGAGCTCTGTCGGGAGTCACGACCGCGTAAATCTCTGGACATAAGGACGACGTTACGAGGACGATCGCTGGAAGGGATCGATCTGCAACGGCACGACTCCTGGATATCTTGTCGATTTCGAGCGCCAGACTTAGCATCAGGTGCGACATGCAGACATCGTTGACGGAAGGAGTACCGTGCACGATCGCCTTGATTAGAAACCGTATGGTTGTGTAGGGAGTAACGGGTATTAGGTGAATGCCGGTGGGCGCGACTCAGCCACAGCCTGGTCAGAGGAACGTGAGCATGTGCCACTGCGTGAACGGAAGCACGACGTACCGCTTGCTCTTTGAGCGTCGCTGTCTGAACGCGGCGGTCGAGCAACATTCCGGCGCGTCTGGTCAGGCGAACGGTGTCGATTTGGTCTGCAGTGGCAAGTTGAGCGCTCAGCATGAAGAGGGGGATAAAACCGACGGGTCCTCGCCTATTCATGTTCGGCAGCGTACTCTCAGATGCGCAAGAGCATACCTCTTCGAGGCGGACAATGCATAGGGGAAGTGTCGGCTATTCAGTGCGCCGGGCCTGAAGTCCTCCGCAATTGTTCCCTTGGTCTTACTCCACTGACACGAGTTGAACCGGTTTACCGACCAAGACTGGCTGCGAAACGTGATGGGTGAGTTCTAGAGTGATGGAGGACAGGAAACTGATAAGCATACCTCGCAAGTGCGTATGAGCGCTGCGACAGGAAGACCGTTCTGGTTTGGTCCCGATGGACCCAGCCTGTTCGATGCTCTCCATCGCCACCATTCACGGAGGTGTTGGACGCGGTACTTCCGCATGCTCTGCACGTCGAGAGCCCCCAGCTTGCAGTCCTTCTGATCAGACACGGTGGTGACGTGGTCGGGGCTCGGTAGAACAAGCGCGAAGACTGTCTGACAGGATGGCGAGTAAGTATCGCCCATCAGAATTCAATGCTCCTCTGACCAACATACGCGGGTACCCGACTGAGGACCGAGGTTGTGCTGCGAAGTGAAGGGCTGGTCAGTCAACGTGACGACTCGGATGCCCGTCACGGTACGTATGCTAACGCTGTACGCATGCGATGTACAATCGTAGTGGCCAGTGACCAAGAGCGACAGCGAAACGAAGCGGCCTGTTCTGAGCCTGAGACTTGACAGCAGTGAGTGGTTGTATCGATCGATGAACGTGTTCTGTTCGAGAGTTGTTCGAGTCGTGGAAGTTGAACCGGCCCGAGGCGGGCCCGAGGCACCGACCAAACGGTACGACCTTTAATTGCCAAGCCCGGCAAGGCGCTCTTGCCATACTGGGCGACAGAAGACACGCGAAGTTCAACGCCATCTGATGGCGGGTCGCGTGGATCTATCGCCAGGAAAGGAAGTGCCCGCGTTGTGGCCACCGTTGTGTGGCGACAGGAATTTACACGAACTCGGATAGAATGTGTAAGGGCACGTGTATATCACTGGCTCATAATGCCATTCTATCCTTATTGGTTATGTGTGCGGATCCTATGAAGATCCCAGTGAGTACGTTGTGTCGCAAAACCACAGCACACGCAAACAACTCGAGGGCTGAGATTCGATCTTGGCCGCCTATTCGCAGCCTCTCCACGTGGCAAGCGCTCCCATCCAATGGAGTCGTGCCGGCCCTAAAGGAGGCAACGGGCGATAGGGGTGCAGGCTTTCTCCGTGGATTTTGGTGGTCTTGTCTGGGTTGGCCTCCGCGTCTGAGGACTTTTGTTGTCTGTGTCGTGACAATAAATAAATGCCCCCCAAAAGGCCCCTTCCCTATCTCTCCCATGCGAATGTCTCCCCCTGCCCATGCTCTTGCTTGTATATTGCCCCAGCTCCCCCAGTCGTTACCGACCGCCGGTGCTGCGGTTGTATTGAGCGAGGAGTGCGCGACGCCATTCAGGCCCGCCTTGAGGTAACGCAGGCTCGGTAGTCCAACCCCACCTGCAAACCCGGCCGGTGTCAGCGAGTTGAACGTCAGTTGGTCCTACATCGCGGTTTCATGCCACTCACATGCCTGATTCTGCTACAGGTCGCGGAGACGAAGGACGACCTCACCATTCCATGCCCCGGCATATCACTGCGGCTTGCTGACTAGTTGCTCCCAGGCATCGGGCAACTTCCTCGGTGCGATCGTGCGCCACAGCTAGGGAGCGCCCGCCAGTACCATACCCGGCTGCCCGCAGGGACCACTACCCTATGCTCGCCATCCGTCAGAGAGGGTCCATGACACGGAAAGGTCTGCGTCAACCCGCAGTAAGCTACCATTCGCTTCCACACCTGAATGGCGACCCGTACCGGAACCTTGGTTGGCCTGGCGCGTACAACTGGTGCGTAGTGATCATCGACGCCGTGTGGCTAATCAAGCCTGCGCATGGTGCCAGAGTTAGGCCACTGGATGTCCATTCGCAACCCGCGAACTCGTTCTGCGCATGACGCTCCGAGAGGATCGGAATAAGCGCTGGTAGGTCCGTCGCAGTGCTGGGTCCGGAGTGCACTCTGGAACAGGCGATCGACCCTCGCAAGCAGACCTGGCGATACGTTCTTGGTTTCCGTATATGCACCCCAAGTCGCGTCGCCTCCTTTCAAGCCACTGCCACCCCATAGTCTTCTGGACGTATGCGTCGTCCACCTCCACGAACGGGAAGCCCGCCCCAGGGGTACGACGTTCACGAAGGTCGCCGCGGAAACAGCCATATGCTCTTCGATCAATCGCGTGTGGCTGTTTCTTGCGCACCCAGCAAACACGCGAAGAGAGCACTACGCATCAGCTGGTGCTCCATCGCAATCGCGGAGCAGGGACGGGCCTCGTTCTCAGTACCATGATGCTCGCACGTTTCATGAGCGCACTTGTGGATCTGGTCCACGCGGCGAGGGATGCCCCAGGTGGTCGTCGCGCCCGATGTGCTGGCACGCTTGCGGCTAGGCCTGTCTCTGCCATCGAAGGTGAGGCCCTCGACATCGAGCGGCTGATTCCTCCAATGGGTGGTATACTTGAGGCTCGTTCGTCGATTCGTAAGGTTCATGAGAGATTTGAGGGCTTGCGACAACATTTCGGTGTTGGAGCTTGAGTACGCTCCTGATACCGCAAAGACCCTTGTCGAAGATTACCCGCATAGATTTTTGGCCAACGGTCCCGCTGTTCATTCCGCGGCCTGATGGCCCGTTCAGAGGTTCGCCACCTTCTATGCGTTTCTCTTCCTTGTTCGATCTGGACACCGCAGAAAGGGGTTCGTCAATTGATCGTCCACAGGGCACTCGGTGAACCAGCGCTCCATTCCGAGGTCGTAGGTTCGTTCCGTAAGTACGTCGTTGGCCAGACGTTTCTTTGCATTGCCGTCTCATGCTGACCCTCGTGCCTAGAGAAGACCGTGTCGAGGAAAGTCGACACATCCGTAGCAGACGACAGAAGTACCCACGAGGAGGCATGCCGTGACATGCGTACCACGGCCAGGATAACTTTCTGAGCCTCGAGCCTTCGGAGGTTCGTTGGATATGCATGAGACTGCTGGGTCACTACGCGGTGTTCGAGAACAGCGATCCTGCATGCGCCGTGGTACATTGGGTGGGCGAGCGTCGTCTGGAATTGGGTAGAGGCGGAGCGATCTTGTCCTTGCACTGAAGTACAGATCCAATTGTGTCCACGGGGAGCAGAATCAAGGACCGTGACGTCTTGACCACTTTCGTCAGGTAAACGGGACAAGGTATACGGGCGACCGATAGAACCCCGCATGTCTACTGAACAGTATGACTTGCGGAGGATGGACGAGCGTCGCGATCTGCAGTTTGTTGAAAACGGGCGTTCCGTACGTTGACCATTCACGGAGCCTGTGCAGGTTCGTGAGCAGATGGTAAATGCATCCTCTTTGAAGGGGTATGATGCTTACATTCAGGTTCTCGTCACGCGTCGCGAGCCCCTCATCACTGGTACGTGCAGCCGTGAAGGCCGTTAATGCGAAGATCATAGGCTTGTCGAGATACCTGACGTCACGGTCTCTTTCGCCAGGACAGGGCAAAGCATCCGCCAGCACGCATCGACCCGCAGTAGCGATCCACGATGCAGATGTGCGGTGGGTGGAGTTGTACTGTGAATCCTTGGCTGCGTCTTGTTGCCCGCCAACCTGTGTGAAGGTAAGTAAGAGTAAGTCTCTGATCCGACATGGGTGAACTGAGAATCCATCGAACTCACGTCGCAGTCCGTAGAGAGTAGGTTTGAAGAAGTGGCCCTGTAGGTCTGCGTATTCAGAAAGGTGAAAAGGCATTGGGGACGAGTACGTACCGATGTTCGTCCGTCAGACGCGTCCCCCCATAGGTGAGCGACGTTAGCGTCGGCCATATATAGATAACGAGATCCTTGTCGTCGTGTAACATCGAAGGAACTTGGCGCAGCAGGACGACGGAGGCAAGCATCGGAAGAGCAAGTAGGAGGAGCCTTAGCCCTTTCACGACGGGTCAATGTGTTCGACGATTCCAGACAGCCTGATCACGGTGCGGATTCGTTGGAGACGTCCCCTGGACATCCGAGGTAAGCGCAAAGGAAGACCGGATCATAAACGATGGTCCACGACGTGCTCGTAACGGTGTTCAGGCCACAGATCCGTCTGTAGTTCCAGGGCTATCGTCGTCGATGGGCCTGGGAAGGACATTGCCATCAAGCAAAGGATGTCCGTCGATGGTTCGAAAGTGAGTGCCACGCCTATGTCAGTTGCACGACGTGTAAGTTGAATAAGTCGCACAATGAGCAGGCATGTCGCTTACTTTATCGATGCGCCGCTCGTCCCGGAGCGGCGGAAGACAAAGGAAACAACGTAGGAGCATTCAGGGTGCGTGAAGGTGGCGGTAGAGAGTGAGCCACTCGAGGTGGGGACAGAAATTTTAGTGCGCCAAGCTCGTTCGGATGTGACTATGGACTGATATTCGGCTTCAGAGACTGCGTATACGACCTAACCGCCTCTTGGGAGGACGAGGCTTGCTGGAAGAGCCATAGGATGGAACGACTGCTCGGCTGCTGCCGAGTGGTACCCTCTCACCGAAGCCACTGGAACGTGGGAGGGATTGTCGTCGACCTCGGGCAGCAGAGACCCCAAAACTGGTCGTCGTCGAGTCCGGAGTTGCGAGATAGCTCAGATATCGAGGGCAGGCTGGCGGCCGATGGCTGAGGAAGTCGCGGCACGAGGCCGTCGGTGCTGGGGGTCTGTGCGCAGTTCCCAAATCCGGATATGCCTTGGTCTCGATGCGGGCAGTCGCGCATGTCGTCTCTGGGGCGAGAGCGAGGGGCTCTGACGGGCGAGCTGTCGTAGAGGGCTGTTCGGAGCAGGGTAATGCTCCGAATGGTTCGCTGGGTCTGGTTCGCGCGAGCGGAGTGACGGGGCCGGGCGGGAAGGGAGAGTGGGATCAGAGCGTACTCAGCGGGGCGCGAAATGAGGTATTAATTTGCACGCGCCAACTCAAACACGGCTCACTACTCTACCCGCGACGACCGCCTCTCCGCATCCTCTTCCCTTGCGCCTCTCACTAGCATCCACTCCCCTCATCTATACAGCATCCCTTCCTTCCACACCTGATTCCCCTCCCCCCGGTTACCATTGTTATCAGCTTCAATCCCATCATCAGCAAGTCGACGATGTTCCAAGACCTCGACATATCTGACTTCGGGCTCAACAACGCTGCCGAGATCTCGGCGTTGTTCCAGTTGTATGTCTCCCAGTCCAATCTTACAGCCGACTGCTGATGGTTGGCTAGTGAATCGCTGCCGGAGCCCGACTTCGACAGCCGGTCGGGTGATAGCAATCATCTTTGGGATAGCGATGGGTTCATGAAGGAAGTTGACATCGGCGAAAGGTAAGACTGGGACACACTGTACCCGGTCACTTCACTGACGGCGCATCGTCGCCAGGGGCTTGCCTGAGCCAGTCGTCTTCAACTCGACCGGCGATTCAAACGACGAGGTAGAGCGCGTACACCAAACAGACCCCGCGCCCTCGCCGTCCATTGGTGCTGAGTCACTCTCCACACCTTCGTTGACTACGACGAGCCCATCGTCGGAATCATCAGCATCGCCCGTGTCCACTCCTCCGCTGCTGTACTTTCCACAGCCCCCATCGCCTTTACCTTCGCCTCCTTCGCCTACTCAACCACCACCTCCGGTGTCCAGACGGTCTGCATCTCGGGACACACCGGCGGCGCGCAAGGTAGTACCGCTTCCGAGACAGAGGTGAGTAGCTTTGTAGTCTCCTAAGCCCTCGTCACAGACACTGACTATGTATCATCCGTGATCCTAGCCGGAGTGCTGCCCGCAAGCAGCCTCAACGACAGGAAGGAGCTATCGTGGGAGCTCGGACAGGCCGGGACCAGGCTCCTGCAATTTCGTCGCAGCCTCAGCCTGAGGCATCGTCATCTCGGGTGACGCTGGACAACCACGCAGAGACAGTAACCAGGTATGCAATACAGACGCTTCATTGACAACTTTCACTGAATCGATTGCTGCATCAGCTTCCCTGGTACCACTACCACTCGTCCGAGCATTCATCCTTATTCCCTGCCGCCCGTCTCTGCGCATAAGTCGCATACGACGACCTACTACACAGGAACACAGGCACTCGCGGCGCCGATGAGGCCCGCATTCGAGATACCGTACGTAGGCGCGGCCGAACGTCCCTTTATGCAGCAACTGACGATCTTGCTTCTGCGTAATAGCGTGAGGGAAGACCAGGTCGAGACCCGGCAAGGGTACAGAGCATTCAGCGTTGCGGCTTCTGCGTCCAGTGCGAGATCGGAGGATGGAGGAGCTCCCGGTATCACCACACCATCTGCACCTATTTTGGACGGAACCTTCGTCCATACGTTCGTGCGATCCGCGCCCCCTCAGCCATACATACAGCCGTATACCAGCTCGGCTTGGACATCATCCTACGTGCCTGCCGATTCACTCGCCTTCTCTGCGTCAACGCCCGGACAGAAGCGGAGACGAGGATCTGAGGCCGATGAAGACGGCGACACGCGCCCCGACCGGCACCTCACCAACCCCGAGCCAAGGCACGACCCATGCTCCAACTCACGCTGAATCCGCCTCCGCCTCCGTCCGTCGATAACACGTGTGGGTGGAAGATTCGCGATGGGGAGAAGTGCGGGAGGGAAGGCACTGCGTTGGAGGTTTGGTCGCACATCCGTGCCGACCACTACGCGGTGGACCCCGCGAAGGCGGAGCCGGCGCCGGTCGTCGGAAAGTGTGACTGGAACGAGTGCGGCTTCGAGGGTACGCAACAGGACCGATTCAAGCATTGGAAGGTCAAACACAGGCCACAGCTGGCGAAAGAAGCCACATCAGGAAAAATCAATATGTCTTTTTCCTACATATTCAGTCATAATAGGTGCATTGAAGACAAAAAGCATGCTGAAGAGCCTAAAGACCAATTTACACAAGTCCCCCTTTCAATTCTGCAAAAGAAGTTCCACCAATCTTGTTTAAGCATGCTTTAGTGCGATGAGGATGTGTAATGTAGCACCATTTTGCTGTACTTATTGTTGCTTTTTGTCACTGATTCTGTCTTCATGTGACTCAAATCCATTCGCAAATATGCACCTTGTGCATTAGGCATGATCCACACGACGATGATATTGGTACAACAATGTTCAGTACTACTTATACAACATGACAACAACACCGAGATGACAAGCCACGACTCGGAGCAACTATACATACCACTAAGACAACATTGATGGCAGAGCGACCGACTCGGACCGACCGACCGACACACCCTTGAACGCAGTACCATATACTACACTTGATGGTCAATAGTAGAACGAGATGATTGAATGAGCAAATGCTTCAATTCTGTAGATGACTGATTGACTTACCATCGACCTACTCAGGCCCCGCCGTTCGTGGATGCTCCACTGCCACGGTCTGGAAAATGTTGAATGGGATCATGTAGGTGGCAAGTGACGACTGAACACGCACCTTCTCCAGACCCGCGGAGTTCATCGATCTCAGTCTGAACCCCTTCACCGCCTTCGCCAGAGAGTCCGGCGCCCCCTTCGTCCTCACTGTGGCCCTGTCCACCCGCTTCACCGCCCTCGCTGCCGTCAGAGTCGCGCCGTTGGTGGTTCTGTGACTTCGAAGTCGACGCGCCTGCACCGCGAGTCTTCCTCGATGGACTGGGTGGATTCTTCGCAGCCTGCGAAGAATTCGGTGTCTTCGCGCTTTTCGATGAGCCGGACGGCTTGCCCGCGGTCTTCGATGATGTGGTGGATTTATTGCCCTTCTTCGCGGTGCTCGACGGCGGCTTGGTCGCAGCCTTCGATGTGCCGGGCTTGTCGCTGCTGCTCTGCGCCTTTGATGCACGCAACTGGAGCAAAGGGATGAAGCTGCCCGGCTGCTCATCGCTGTCCGTCACTCCCTCGAGCGCGTTGGGGCCAGCGTTGAGACGATTGCTGTATGTGTGGTCAGTAACAATTTCCGTCTAGATTCAAAACTTACCTGATGTGCTTCCATATGAGCTCTCGCGTCTCTTCGAGGTACTCGCTGGCACTGTCTTCCAGAGTCTCTAGGATGGCCATCGTGCCATCCCACCTATGGTTGGTGAGCTTTCACCATTTGCAATAGAACTTAAGAATTACTTACTTGGCCGCGAAAAGCTTGCCGGAGAAAATATGGACTGGTTGTGCGACGTTACCTCCATCAGTGCTGCCTCGATCTAGTTTACAATTGTATGAGTAGCTTAACTTAGAGCAGGAACTCGACGAGGATGCGGATACGTACCGCGTTGCATGCGAGGGCGATGAGGTTGAAGGGCATCTTGCTGAACTCATCCAGGGCCGCATTGATGTTCGCATCGCCGCGTCCTGCCAGGCCGTAGTACTGGTAGATGAGCTCAGGGATGCATTCGTTTCGGAATGGCTCCGTGGGCTCGACCTTGGTAAGCTAGGATTGCAGTGAGCTCGCTCTGACGTGTTGCACCCTGTGTGAGCACGTACCTCTCGATCCAGCTTTTTCTTGCGATCGAAGTGGAACTCTACGCCCCCGAAGACGAAGTTCGCGATGTTGCGTGTCCCGGAACCGTCATTCACTTCCGTTGGGTGCGTCTCGAGAAGCCAACGACGACCTCGGTCCTTTGAGGAACTGTCAGGCTGCCAAGCTTGAAGGTCTGCTCTATCACTTGCTTCGCCTTCCTCTTGAGCTCGTTCCGAGTCTGTGATGAGCAAGTCCAGACCTGGAAAGAATCAGAGCCTCCGACTTTCGTGAATTATAATGAGTGTGAGCTCACCACGGAGTAGGCCTTCGCTCTCAAAGCGGCTCGTTCCGAGTCCTCGTCACCATCCGAGCTCGCATCGCCATTCGCTTTCTTCTTGTCTTTCTGGGTGTGATCCGCTTCCTTCTTGTCTTTCTTCTTGTCGTCCTTCTTGTCGGCCAGCAGCCAAAACGCGGCCTTGATGTCGGCAGCATGGTTGCCAGTCCCTCGTCTGTCATAAGCGTCGCGAACACTGTCACGGATTAGTATATCCCTCCTTGGCAGCCGCTTGGACGCGACTGAAGCCTCCTTCGTCCACGCCGAGTTGAGCGCAATGCGTAGTCGCAGACAATTTTGCGCGGCCGAGACGAGAGTCCTGACTTTGGCTGGTAAGTCGGCGACCCTGGCGCGACTGCTGCTGTCTCGACCACTGCCCGTCGACTTGGCGAGAGCCGGCTTGCTTTGCGCCCTCGTCTCAGACACGACCTGCAGATAGTCCAATGCGATGCTAATCACGACCAATAAACCAGAGAGGATACTCACTACCACATCGCCCTCGTCCTCGCCCTCATCGTCTCCGTCCTCCGACTCTGAGACTCAGGCCCTACATCGTCGACGTCGTCCTCATCCTCGACCTGACTCCCATCGTCGCCTGCGTCATCGTCATAAGCATCATCGCTGCCTCCGCCATCGCTGTCTTCGTCTGATTTGGGGTCATGCTCGCTCTCGACCGAGTCATCCTTGCCTGTTGCTCGGGCCTTACCTTGTCCTGACGATGTGAAACAGAGCTATGTCTTAGCCTTCGCACAGTACGAGAAATCACTGCCTACCTTCCCACTCACCGGCAGTGCCTTCGGTTGGCAGTACCGTGAGTGGACTTGCCACCGCCGAACTTAGGTTTTGTCGGTTTCAGCACACCGCCTTACGACTACTGCCAGCGTTCTCCCTGGCTTCACGCCGCCCCCCGACTACACATTTGATAGCTTAGCCAATAATAATGTGGATATATGAAGTGAATTACTCAGTGTTTGTGCAACATTCTCCTCGGCGGGATCCAAGGACGTCTCGGGTCTCGCGAATTTACCGTATGCCGGCTTCGGTTTGGCTTGGTAGAAATGCAGCGGTCTAGTCAGTAATGTGTACGTACAGCAGACCATGGTTGCCACGTACGTCGAGTGGTAGTAGGCTGCTTACTAGTAGTGTCATCCTCCATCTCGACATCTTCTGGCGTGTCTTCGACTGCCTTATCCTGCTCATCGGCTTCCGCCTCGTCCTCCACCACAGCACACTTCTTCTTTTTTGTTTTCGGTTGCTCTTCATCACTCAATAATTCTTCTTCGGCCATTATCTTCGACGCCCTCTTCCGGACCTCTTTCAAGCAGGCCATCAGCGATAACAGTTAGGTTCATTGCAGCACAAACGACGCTCACGAGTAGTGCGTCGCTCCTTCTCCTTCTCCTTCTCCCTTTCCTGACCCTTCTTCTTGGCGGCCACTTCTTTCGCCTTGCCCTTCGTGAATTTACTATTTTTCATGGAGCCGCCTGCGGCCTGGGTGTTGGTCGACCTGTCGACCTGGGCGTTTCGGAGCCTTGTTCGGTTGCAACCGATCGGGTGACGCGCTTCGAGTCGGGCATGCCTGAATACGTAGCCAGAACACGGAGAGAGGAAAGACAGAGGATAGACTGTAGTGATATGAGAAACAAGAGACGCACCGTGGAATTTTACGTAGACGCTGCGAACTTCAACGATCGATGTGAGTGATGTTCATAGAGTCCGAGCGCTGTCAACCATGGGAAAGCGCTCATGGTATTCGCCAAAACGCGCAAGTTGAGTGAGGACGAGTGAAGCTATGTAGATACTAATAAATAAAAGTGGCGTTAGTAGAGCAACCATTGCGCTCCTCCAGCCACTTAATCATTTCTCTGTCCGTGTGCAATACAATGAAAGCCCGACGACCTTTGAAGTGTGAGTTTAAATGCGTCAATTTGCACGATGGAAATATCACGAAATCGCCGTTGCGAAGAGGTAGTATGACCAGACCTGGTTCATACAACTTGAACACAAGTTCGCCTCTGTCGATCGGAACTGTTGAGATATCGCTGCATAGGTTGCTAGCGGAGATCCCCACATGGCTCAGGTTCATGACTATGAAGTTAGCAAAAGGGTGGCAGTGAAGTCGCGGCGCCGCGGAGTCACGTCTAGTACCCTTGACAGACCCACATAGCCTCTTGATCGCAGTGGTGCATCCTGCCCTACCCTGCCTCCTGGACTGCGAATACGATCCTCTACCAACCTTATCGAGCACTGCGAGGCTACTAGTGTTAGACAACTCAGATCAGCAGACAGATCAGCCACGTCATAGTCGTTAAGAACCACATATTATTGTACTGAATACAACCGCCGTACAATTCAATACTACCTGGGCACTACATCAGGCTCGCGCGAGCTACATGCATGTCGATCTTCCGTACGTCCGGCACTGCTCCATGAGCTCGGGCTCAAATTGTGCTTGCGTGGTCTAAGGCGCGTAGGCTCATCGTGTGTATGCGGCGAGCTGGTCAGGGAGGCGCATCGTGAATTCTGGAACGATCGATACTCCTGCATGGGATGTTGGTGCTTGGCGGCCCAGCAATCCTCGGGAGCGATGTGGTAGGGTCATCCTCGACGTGCCTGTACGCATTGGACTGAGGCCTGTCGGGCTGCTGGTCAACGGGCCCTTGCGCACTGTGTGCTGGTTCACGTTCCGGTGGGCGCCTAGCGGGTACTCACCGAGTGGTCCTGCTTGTTGGGGCTGGTCAAGCCGGACATGCGTTCACCGTATTGCTGTGCGACGGGTGGTCGTATCCGTACGCATCGGCCGTATCCGTACGCACCGGTGCGTGGTTGCTGGGGCTGGTCAAGCCCGGCATCGTATTGGTGTGCGACGGATGGTGGTACCCGTACCCGTCGGTCGTATCTGTACGCATCAGTCGTACCCGCACGCATCGGCCGTATCCGTACGCACCGGTGCGTGGTTGCTGGGGCTGGTCAAGCCGCATCGTATTGGTGTGCGACGGATGGTGGTACCCGTACCCGTCGGTCGTATCTGTACGCATCAGTCGTACACGCACGCATCGGCCGTATCCGTACGCACCGGTGCGTGGTTGCTGGGGCTGGTCAAGCCCGGCATCGTATTGGTGTGCGACGGATGGTGGTATCCGTACCCGTCGGTCGTATCTGTACGCATCAGTCGTACCCGCACGCATCGGCCGTATCCGTACGCACCGGTGCGTGGTTGCTGGGGTGGTCAAGCCCGGCATCGTATTGGTGTGCGACGGATGGTGGTATCCGTACCCGTCGGTCGTATCTGTCCGCATCGGCCGTACCCGCACGCATCGGCCGTATCCGTTGACGCGACCGAAAAGAACACAAAAGCCACACAAAACCCAACCGTGAGGTCGAGCAGTGGTATGCGAGGCCTCTGTGTCTATGAGATGTACGGGGGACTGTACAGTGGTCTAGGTAAGAAGGAGGAGGACGGACAAGACTCCGAACGACGTGGGAGAGCTTCGAAGATGTTGAAGACTGTTCGAAGACGAGGGCTAAGCCTCGAAGGTAGGAGGGGGAGTTTCGACAGACGTGTCGAACGAACAGTGACAAGGAAGGCGAGCGACGGCAGGAGAAGAAGTGTAGAGCCTCTCGGGACAACTACGAGCTGGCGAACGTACTGACTGACTGGCGAACTTGCTGACTTCGAACGTACTGACTGACTGGCGAACTTGCTGACTTCGAACGTACTGGCTGACTGACGAACCTCGCCGGTGCGAGGTGAGATTGAGAGGGTAAGGGGGTCTCTGGGATTCGAAGGGAACCAGTCCAGAGTATATACAGGGAAACACGGCTATTACCACTACGGAGCTCCGACGGCCCCAAACATCCGGCTATGGCTTCTAACACGTGACAACTGCTCTCGGGCTCGCTAACCAGTGGTCCGAAGGCCGACCGGCTATCACATGACACCGGAAACCGAGACCACTCGTCGAGGATGTGAGACGACCTGCAAGGACTCACTGGACATCCTGTAGCATCCTATGGTCTCGCAGGAGATCTTCTAACACCGTAGCACGTCTTCTAACATGTTCGAGTGTCTTCTAACACATAGTGCATCTTCGAGTGACCTCCGTGCTCTGGGGTTGTCTAGATAGGTGGGTAGGTGCTCCTATAGCGTCACTGAGGTGCCGGAAGGTCGTGGATAGTCTTCCAAGGTGAGCCAGGGTTGGCTACGAACTTCGAAATCTTCGAACAGTTGTAGTGGATCTTCTAAGAGCTTCGGAGCATCGTAGAGGCCTAGATTGCATTTTCGGGGCTTAGATAGCCTAGAGGCGTATCATTCCCCCTTACTGAAATCCTGCCGTCCTCGGTCAGCGGTATAGCAGATGAAGGTGCTTGTTTCGTAGAGGACCACCGGGGTCGGTAGAAGGCGAGGATGGTTGAAAATGGAGGTAGGACGTGAACTAAGGATTGCTTGGGTGGTATCGTCGCCCCCTATGGCGGGAAAGGTCGTCTAGCACCATAGAAGACCCTAGCTGTCTCGGCAAAACACTGTCTGCATCCAGCTTGTCGAATGCATCTTCGAAGTGTTCGGAGGCTCCTAGGGACATCGTAGACTCCTTCTCCTTCTCTCTAGCCAGCGGTACACTGCGAGGTCTCGTCTTTGCATTGGGGACTGCCTGACTGACATGTTCGGAGCTTGCTCTAGGTCGTCTCGAAGAAGTCGAGGTCCCTGACTGTCTCGTAACGCTCAGGCTCGGCCCCGAGGTGCAGCGGGCATCATTTGCAAGGTATTCACTCTACGAACGATTAGGTTTGTTGGGTCTGGGGCCATGTCGGGTGGTAGGACTAGGTACGTGTCTCGAATGTTCGGAGTTGTTGTTCATGCACTCCACGTCGATCCCATGGCCATAATTGTCTCCAAAGCGAAAAACAGTGCGGCAGTGACGAACAGCACCACACACATGTAGAAGACTCTCGACACGTGTTTGGGTGGACCTGCTGGTTGCGAGAGCAATAGGGTATGTTGACGTCTTCGCGGTGTGGGTCTAGCTTTCGAGGCGTGTCTGGTGATGGTACTACCAAGTGGTCGTGGTGATCCTCCCCCTTACTGAAATTGTGACCGTCCTCGGTCAGCGCAGAGATAGATACAAGAGATGGGCGGGGCGGGAGGGAAGCATGGGCTGCTCGTCATGCTTGGGCAACATAGTAGCCAGTGGAGGTAAGGCCATCCATCGTAGGAGTGTTCGAAGATTTTGGCGGTAGCACAGTGCACGGTAACTTCAAGACGTAGGAGCAGAGTCTGGCAACATCGAGGAGTGGGGGTAGACATCATAGGAGGATCCAAAGGCGTCGTAGTTGCAGAAAGATAGTCCGAACTTTTCGGAGCGTAAGCATAAGCATCCAATGATTTCGGAGGCATAGCAGAGGTCGGAGGTTCCGGAGATGGGAGGGGACAGTTGACGATTCTAGAATGGCATAAGAGGCTTCGAAGATTTCGTAGACCTGGGATGTGGTCTGACAATCTCAGAGATGTAGCTCGAAAGTTCGAAGATTCTTGAGATGTAGGAGCGTGGTGTTGCAATTCTGAAGGGATAGAAGGGTGTCAAACATCGTAGGATGTTCAAGGATTCCATCAGCGTAGAGAGATTGTTCGAAGAATCTGTTGATAGTCCAAAATCTCGGAGACATGGCTTGACCGTTCGAAGATTTTGGAGACGTAGGGCATGATCTGGCCATTTCGGAGGATAGGAGGAGTGTCCAATGTCGTAGGAGCACTCAAAGATTCCGTCGACGTGGGAGATCACCGTTCAAAGGCTTCAAAGACATAGGTCGATAGTCCGAACATTTCGGAGGTGCAGGTTGGTCATCTGACAATCTCGGAGACGTAGGTCGACTGTCCGAAGATTTCGAAGATGTAGGTCGTATGTCTGAAGACTTCGAGACGTAGGAGTCTCTTCTAATGTAAGGCTGCCCTCCGGAAGGTCCCCTAACACGGTGACACTGGGAGTGTCTTCGATCATAAGGCTGTAGTTCGAAAGTGGTTCCATAGCTGCAGTGTTTGTAGACGCCTGGTTCGTCTTGCGCTCCGCCGTCCGAGGCGTCAGTGCTGCCCAGTATCGGTCGCGAAGGTACGAAGGCAATTTCGAAGCTCCTCAGATGTCAATGGTACACACGGAGTGTTCGATGAGGACTCGACAGCCAGTTCGGCAAGCTGGGGCGGGGGCTGTGCTATAAAGAAGCTGGCTCGGCTCTGTCGCTTGTGGGAGATGCTTCGAAATTTCGAGGGCTCGCTTCGAACTTCGTAGGGGTCGCTTCGAAACGTTGGGTGGGAGGAGGTGCGTAGGTCATGTCTCGAACATTTGCAGATGGGAAAGCGGGACTCTCGGTGTCGATGGTAGGTCGGACGACTGGCGCAGGTGCTAGGGTACTTGGTCTGTCTTCGAACATGGCAGGCGGTTTGGGGCTCGCTCCGAAAACTTCGAACACGTCATGGGTAGTAGTGGTTGATCAGCCAGGTGGGTGTTCGAGCGTAGGGGATGCTTCTCGATGACAACTCGGTCGACAACGGTCTGCTTATGCTGTTCCCGAGCATAGATCTCCGTCAACCGTGATAGCTGGGCGTCCATGCAGGCTAGCATCTCTCCAATGTCGAGGGCATGCGTAGGGATAGGCGGACTCTCGACTGCTTCATAGAGCAACTGCGTGGCTGTAGCACCTTGCATAGCACTGCCTGAACCACTCGAAGACGACGAACTGAGTCCTAACTTGCTCGAACAACGTGCATGTTCGTAGATAGCGTCTCGGAGGGTCTCGCTGTCTCGGCGACTCATGAAGCGGTTGTCGAACGAGACGATCTTGCCATCGGGGTTCCGTCGACACAGGCCCTTCTTCCTGTCTTCTTCGAACATCTCGCAGTCGCCGATCCAACATCCCGAACGTCCGCAATAGAAGCACCGAGGGCTGTCACGACTGTTTGAGAATTCGGGTGACCGGCTGTGAGACTGCTGGGCCTCGAGGGTCTTGATCAGCGTCTGTAGCAATGGTAGGAGGTCTTCGGACTTCGTGGTCACAGGTGGGGATGGCAGGATAGACGCAGCGGGTGTGGTCGTAGGCATAGGGGGACGAGCTTGCCGAAAGGTCGAAGCTGGTGTAGGACCATCTAACACCCACTGTGCTGACTCGTAGATCTCTGCGAACGTCCAGGGCTTCCTTCGAGAGTGGTCAGGGTTCCGCATGAACAGGCGCTGCTCGATGGGACCCCAGAGCGTATTCGGAAAGCCTTGCTGGAACTTCCGATCTTGTTCGAGTGTCGAAAGCGAACCTCGAGCGATCAGGTACTCCGAAATCATGTAGAAGTCACGGTAGTAGGCAGCGAGGTGGAGGGCATTGGTCATCCCGAGTTCTATGCGATCATGGACGACCGTGTCGAGATCAGCGAGCGAGTACTTGTGCTCGTCATCAGCTCCAGGATAGAGTGCTCGTAGGGCGGTCACGAACTCCTCGTAGGGCTTCGTAGCATCCTTGAATGTTGGCTGCATCATCCATAGGTCGGAGACGCGGATAGGAGGGTAGCGAACTGCCCATGACTTCTTGTCGGAGTCGTCGGTAACTCGGCATCGTGCGAAGTGTGTTTCGAGGTCTTGGAAAAAGCGGTTGAATGAGAAATGTTCTGACTCGTCAAAGACAGGTGCAGTGGAGTGTCCGCGTGCAGGCATTGAAGCCGCCTTCGAGGCTGGTGCTCCTGTGTCGGCCATATTTGGACTCAGCTTCAAAGTGTTAGAAGGAGTTGGCGAAGCGATAGAAGGGATTGTTGAAATGTTCGAAGGTATTGTCGAAGTGTTCGAAGGGTTAGGGGTGTCGACGGTTGAAGTCCGTCGCGGCGCGGACTGCTCTGGTCCTGGAGGGACTGACGACACTCTACGACTGGTGGGTATGGGTAGACGTGAGGTGGAAGATCCTCTACGCGTGGTGACTGTGGCTGAGGTGGGTTCCTCTCCTTCGAGAGGTGGTGATGGTGTTAGAAGCGGTAGAGGGGATCCGAAGACTAGTGCCTCTAAGTCGTCTGCAAGCAAGAGTCTTCGAGCACGTCTGGAATGGTATGGGGTAGTAGGCACTTGGTCTCGAACAGAGCGTTCCGGATCGTCGTGATCGGGGACAAGCTCGATGTTTTCGGGCGAAGAGGGGATAGTCGAAGGTCCTGGGAGAGGGTTGCTATGCCTGCGAAAGGTGGCGGCTGATCGGGGACCTAGTCTACTGTCGATAGCGAGTGTGAGAAGAGGACTTTCGTAGTCTCGGTAGTCTTCAGGGTTGACGTCGAAGTTCCGACGCGGCGGAATCTTGCTCTATATCCCCTCGCGGTGGGCTCCAAGATGACGCGACCGAAATGAACACAAAAGCCACACAAAAACCCAACCGTGAGGTCGAGCAGTGGTATGCGAGGCCTCTGAGTCTATGAGATGTACGGGGGACTGTACAGTGGTCTAGGTAAGAAGGAGGAGGACGGACAAGACTCCGAACGACGTGGGAGAGCTTCGAAGATGTCGAAGACTGTTCGAAGACGAGGGCTAAGCCTCGAAGGTAGGAGGGGAGTTTCGACAGACGTGTCGAACGAACGGTGACAAGGAAGGCGAGCGACGGCAGGAGAAGAAGTGTAGAGCCTCTCGGGGCAACTACGAGCTGGCGAACGTACTGGCGAACTGACTGACTGGCTTCGAACGTACTGACTGACTGGCGAACTTGCTGACTTCGAACGTACTGGCTGACTGACGAACCTCGCCGGTGCGAGGTGAGATTGAGAGGGTAAGGGGGTCTCTCTGATTCGAAGGGAACCAGTCCCAGAGTATATACAGGGAAACACGGCTATTACCACTACGGAGCTCCGACGGCCCCAAACATCCGGCTATGGCTTCTAACACGTGACAACTGCTCTCGGGCTCGCTAACCAGTGGTCCGAAGGCCGACCGGCTATCACATGATGCCAGAAACCGAGACCACTCGTCGAGGATGTGAGACGACCTGCAAGGACTCACTGGACATCCTGTAGCATCCTATGGTCTCGCAGGAGATCTTCTAACACCGTAGCACGTCTTCTAACATGTTCGAGTGTCTTCTAACACATAGTGTATCTTCGAGTGACCTGCGTGCTCTGGGGTCGTCTAGATAGGTGGGTAGGTGCTCCTATAGCGTCACTGAGGTGCCGGAAGGTCGCGGATAGTCTTCTAAGGTGAGCCAGGGTTGGCTACGAACTTCGAAATCTTCGAACAGTTGTAGTGGATCTTCTAAGAGCTTCGGAGCATCGTAGAGGCCTAGATTGCGTTTTCGGGGCTTAGATAGCCTAGAGGCGTATCAGCGCGCGCCCTGAACAAACCGAACGTCACGAAGTTTTACGAGCTACTCAAGGAGATCGTTGAGACGCGGCACATCCCACCCGAGAACATCTACAACGCCGACGAGAAGGGGGTGCAGCTAGGTATCGGAAAGTGCGCCAAGGTTCTTGTTGATCGCGACCAGAAGACGGTGTACAACGTTGAACCTGGTAATCGCGACCTCATAACCATCATAGAAACTGTATGTGCTGACGGAACGATGATCCGCCCGTGCGTGATCTTTAAGGGAATGCGCCGCAATCTGGAATGGGGAAAGGTCAATCCAGCGAATGCGAGGTGAGTTTGATTTCCTCAATTTCCTCATGTGCTTTTCTCACTGGTCTTTCAGCATTGCGATGTCGCCTAATGGGTGGACGGACCAAGATCTCGGCCTTCAGTGGCTCAAGAATGACTTCGAGCCAATGACGGCGCAGCGCAATGTTTCCGGGGCCCCACGTCTTCTAATTCTCGATGGACATAATTCTCACTGCACCTACCGTTTTTGCCAATTCGCGGCCAACCATAATATCAAGATTATTTGCCTTCCACCGCACACTACACACGCACTGCAGCCGTGCGATGTAGGGGTCTTCGGGCCATTGGCGAACTTATGGAGGAAGGAAGTCACACGTGCTCACCGCCAGGGGATAGCTATCACGAAAACAAATTTCCTGCAGCACTATGGTGCAGCTCGTGAAGCTGCATTTAAGTCGTCGACGATCATATCTTCCTTCAGGAAAACAGGGATCTGGCCCATGGATTCTCGTGCGATTCCGGAGGATGCGTATGCACCTGCACTAAACACGAGCAAACAAAGTGACCCCATCGTTGACAATCTGATATCCCTGCCTCATCTCTTTCTCCCTCGCCCTGTCCACCGCACGCAGGGCACAACGATGAATGTCCCCGGACCTGCGCATCCCGTCAGTTTCATCTTCACTGGCATCCCTCGCCGGCTCCCCCCCACGGCCTCTCGTACGGCGCTTCTGACGCAAAACGACGAGCTCCATGTGGTTGCAGCTGCCTGCATCGAGCAGGTGCAGCGTGACCATGCATTGCTGAAGCTGAAGGATCGCGAGAACAGGACCCTGCGAGAGCAGCTGCACTCGAGGGCCCTACAGGCAGGAAAGGGGAAGAAGAGGACCAAGGGCCGCCGCCGCCGCGCAGGCAAGACGGGTCATCCTCGGCATATGACAGGCGAGGAGAACCTGAACCAGCTCGCACGACAGGATGCCGAGGGCAAGATGCAGGACCTCTTCAAGGAGGCACGCGTAGAGTTCAAGGAGCGCCGCCAGGCGATCACCCAGGAGGAACGGGAGGTGGCGCTTCAGCGGAAGAAGAAGGAGGCCGCCGAGAAGAGTGCAAAGAAGAAGGAGACGGCCGCAGCGAAGAAGGCGGCGAAGGAGCAGGAGCGTGCTGCTGCTCGCGCGATGAAGGAGCAAGAGCGCGCTGCTGCCCGTGCCGCAAAGGAACAGGAGCGCATGGCGAAGGCGCAGGAGCGCGAGGCTGCACACGCAGTGAAGGCGCAGGAGCGCGAGGCTGCACGCGCAGTGAAGGAGCAGGAGCGTGCGGCGAAGGCGCAGGAGCGCGAGGCTGCCGCCGTCGCTGCGCGTGAAGCGAAGGAGTTGGCTGCGCAGAAACGACACGTTCTGGCAGCTGGTACGCCAAAGAAGACGACGAAGGTGGCCAAGAAGGCGCAGTCTGTGAGGGGATTGAAGAAGAAAGAGGAGGCCATCGCTGCTGGAGCGAAGAAGGTCCTGAAGGCGTCGAGCCTGATCAAAGACTCTCGGCGCGGTCACAATGGAGGAGGCAGCGTCTCCAGCTCGGAGAGCGAGTCCGTCTCAGAGCCCGGCTCTCCAATTCCTGCTCCTACGCACCCTCCACCACATGGTGTTCGTCCCCGCCCTCTGCGTCGCCCAGGTGCAACCACTGGCGAGGCTGTCGCAGCCCCTCCCACTGGCACAACTGCTGCCAGTGCTGTCGCTTCTAGCACTGCGGTTGCTGGCCCTTCTTCTTCTACGTCCTCTCAGCACCGCGCTGAGATGGAACCCGTTGCCGCAGTCACCGGGGAGGCCGATGAAAATGCGATGCAGGTCGACAGTGCGACCGTCGAGCAGACTGCGGCCAGTGTCAACCCTGCAGAGCTCGCAGTCGCAGCTGTTTCGCGCCCACTACGTCGCAGTGCCCGTCGCAAGGGTCAGTGAGGACCATTTGATACCCTCCATGTACTATTTTATTCGTGCTCGTCGTCCTGCACTCGCTATGCCTTACATACCCTTCGCTCTCTGTCGGCGCTTACCTCAGCGCTTATGTTGTACCGTGTGGCCCACTTCGGCGTCTGACTGTCTCCCTGTACTCGTCTCATGAAAATATTCACCATGTCTCGCTGTCCTTACCTAAAAATATTTCGTGCTTTGGAATACATACCTGGGATGTCCTAGCATCGACTGATATGCTCAACGCAACATAAATGAGATGTTTGGACTCGGGGGAACTTGTGCACTGCTTAGGTGGCCCAGATCATGGCCCGATATAGTACGCTCAGTAAGTACTCAAGCTCAAGTACCATGAGTTTGGACAAAGTCTCAGCAAGTCCATCTGCATTCGGGTGGGATTCTTTATATACCAAGTTCAACACGATGATTTTAGCATTAAGCTTCTCGCATCGAGGCGTCTTGTAGACCATCGTCCGAGTATTAAGATGGTAATGCAACGCTATTTCACTGGCAGCACCGATACATTGAGGGAGCAGAGATCCACAGTGGACCCAGGTTTTGAATCCGAGTATACATAGTCCGATGCGCTAAAAGAGATAGCACTAATTAGACTCGTCACGAGTAACCTGGCGGTGCACCCAAGTCCGAAGGTTCCGGTCCCTCGATGTGCACATTCAGCATGATCCTGCGCAGATCCTCGATCTCCGTGCGCAGCCCCAGCAAATCATTCTCTCGCGACCTCGCAGAATCGCTGTTCGTCGTAGAGGGAACCGTGGCGCTACCAGACGGAGGCTCGTCGCCCATGGCGGAAAACGAGCCGGTTGAAGGCAACAGAGGCGCTCCTTCCCTCGGCGACTCGAGTTCCCGCCGCCGCTTTTCCGTGAGTATGACACCCGGAGCCTGGGCCGAAAAAGCAGGCGCAGACTCGAAGGGCGTTGGCTCTGTCCTCGTACCAGAAGTGTCGAGGAGGGCGACGTTCTTCTGGTTCCGACGGTGTCGGAATAGCAATAGTACAAGCCCGACGAGCACAAGTAAGCCGATGACGCCCCCGACGACGCCGCCCGCTATGGCGCCGACGTCGACCTTGCCACCACCGGAGGCGCTACCGCGATTCGTGGAGCTTGCAGACTGAGTGGGAGATGGGGAGCCAGTGATAGTATTGCTGCTCATGACGTTCAGTATAGGTAGACTTGTGATATGCTGCAACCTCACCTGCGCAAGAACGGGGCGAAGAGGCCTCCTAACGCGGGGCTGTCTCGCGGATTAGACGTCGAATCTCTGACACAAGAATAGCACGACTAACCTCAACGTTCCATCCACGTAGGCACCAGATTCGACATTGTACACTGCGCCGAACGGAAGCGATGTCCCGTTGAACGACGCATAATTCCAGACCGCATCAAGAATCTGACCGCGGATCGTGTCGTTGGTGCAGGTAGCCGCGATGAAAGCATTCCAGGCTGTACAATCACATTTGAGTCGGAGTTACAAATACTCTGTTGGGATATTGACACACCTACGTTGCCAAGCGATTGTGCTGAGCTCTGCATCGGCAACCCATGCGTATAGTTGGCTGGGAAAGCGTTGAGTAATCGACATGAACGCAACGAAAGGGGATCCTTACCAGTTTCAGGTTGGATCCACTGCCCATACATGACAGTAAGCTTGTCAAGCCACTGTGTGGCAAAATCAGCACAGTTCATTCCCGTAAATATCGCAATGACGTACTGTCTGATTCAAGAGATTAAATCCGAACAGAGTCTGCGGGTAGAGATTATACGGTAAAGACCAGACACCTGTAACTGCCGAGTTCAACGTCGGATTCACGGACGCAGAGGCGCCTCCTGACGATATGGCAAGCGGTTGCCATGTGTTCATAAAGTTGGTCGCTGTGCTCTGTGAACGTGCGGAAACTCGTCAGGATTCCGAGTTCTTGCCAAGTTGTAGTACACGGTCGATGACTCACGCTGAAGTGCTGAGAATCATTACTCTGCCCGACTAATTGACTGATTTCCGCCATGGCCTGGATGGCGAAGATACCCTTCACCGCCAGGTTGGTCGAGTTTGTGGCGTCACTTCCGTCATCGACAGATAATCTGACAGTTCTCGGTGAGTTGTTTTCGAGCACCATAAAACATGATACGCACTGGCCCTGAGGAGGAAATGGCCCATGTCCCGTCAAATACTCTGCCCAATTCTTAAGCAAGGGATACTGCGTGCATGTGAAGGTAAGCTAAGCACACAACTCTCGAAGATGAAGACGCACATAGCCATGGAGCAGCGATGTATCGTTCGAGTATCTGGCGTGAGCGAGTGCAATGATGAGCATGTTCCCGGACTCTGCAATTACCACTGGTCAGCAGGCGGATCTGCGCTGCGGCAAAGCATGCTCACGTTCGATTGCCTCTGTAGATGTCAGGTTCGGACCAGATACAGCCGGGAACAAGGAGCCTGAATAAGACCATCAACACACCATTGTCGGCAAAGTGTGATGAGAGCTCACCAAGGTCTTTCGATGCGTACGGATATTCGCCCAACGACGTATTCTGTTGTTCAAGGAGCGGCACCAGGATTGGCTTGACTAGCGATGCATTGTAGTACAAGAACAAGGGCAGAGCGGCGTACAATTTCTCCACGGGAGTGACGCGTCTATGAATTGTCGTGTGAGATACGGAGTGCTTGCATGGGCCCGGTATGACTCACTGGCTGGTGCCCATGTCTTTCATGAAGATCCTAGTGGTGCCGTCCGACTGATAGGGAGCCGTGATCTCGAGAGAGCTGAACACCTGGCGAGTGGCGAGCGAAAGCATGTCGTACAGTTTGCCGTCCGCCGAAATGCTTGAAGCCGCTTCACGGACTTGCGTATCGAGCAAGTTCGCCTGAGTCAGCGAGTTGTTGAAATCGGAGACAAAGAACTCCAACTACATATGCGAAGTTCAGTGACATGGGCCAACAAAGCTAGCTGTGTTATAACTCACGGCATCTTCGGTGGTAGGATACTGTGTTGTGTAGTACGGGCGGAGGGATTCCGTGTTTCCTGACAATGCGTAACTGATGCTGGGATCGCGTACATAGCCAATGGCCCAGACAACGGGCGAGTCCAGAGAAGCAACACTTCCCAAGTCGACCGAGATCGGGAAGACGGGCCAAGCGCTGCGATATGCATGAGCTCCTGATGCGCGCAGCAGAATGTAGCGCCCCTACTTATTTATATCCCGAGAGGTACTATTGTTGTCACTCGCGTTTACGCGACCATAATCTTGGAACTCTTCGCGACAGACGACGTCTGAGCAGGTCTGCCAAGTGACGTCGCGTCCTTGTGGTCCCTGCCACTGAAGTCAGCATAGTCCTTGGCAACGATCAAGTTGTTGTACCAGCTCCATCGCGAAGTACGCTGCACCGTCTAAGGCTTGTCCTCCTTGCTCCTGAAAAGGTGTCGGATTCGTGAGGTGCAGTTCGTGATAGATCATGCTACTGGTTTGCGACGGCGGACTCCACGACATCTGCAGCCCCTTGTTGTTAGCCAGCCATTCTAGAAAAATATCAGCTCACGAGTAGCCAGATGCGCGCACGCGTTCTAAATACTACACACCTCCAGTAATGTCGGAGTACAGCTGTATGTCATGTGGTTGATTATCGGTGGATGTGAAGTCCAGGGCCGCATAAGCGAACGGAAGAGATTGGCGTAGGAGATCAGACGGCTTGCTATGGTGTCAGCAACGTAGAGGGTACTTCTGGTTCACAAACCTACATCTATGGGACTCAGAAATGTCAGCGTAACGTTCATAGGGCCAGCTTCGATGACTTGTATGGTACGAGTGGGGGTCAGTTCCGTTTGTGGAAAGTTGCCAGGTGTCACGGAGTAGTTGCCCGCGAGATTGCCGTTGCCATACAAAATGTACGTCTTTCCGTCCACTCGGATGTAGCATATCCACCCAAGAATCTATTAAACCCAGAGATCAGCCCACGAGGATGACCAGATATGAAGGATCGCACCCCTCCACTCCAGAAAGACGGCCAGTCGTTGGTACTCTCCGACCCCTTCGATGTCCACATCCATGAGTTCAAGTAAGGCGTGCGAGCAGCGAATGGTATCGCTAATGGCCAGAATGTTTGCGCGCCGTGCACTTGCAAGATGGCAAAGCGTAGGAGAAACAGAAATGGAGCCAGAACAAGGAACATCATGGAGGAAGCAGAGAGGGAGCGGGACCTAGTCAGCGTCGCCCGTAGTTGACCGCGGGCGGCGAACCTTGTCAGTGCGGGCCGCTGGCTGTTCTGTGGTGAAGCGATGCCAATTCATTGTGAGGGTTTCAGCTCGGCATCTCATGCCAAATTTTCCTCGCAACATTGCAAGCACGGTGGCACGCCACCGGCGTCATCTTCCGAGGTTCTGTTCCGAGAACCGTCGTCCTTTAGTCGTCCTGCACTGGAACCCGCAGCAACGGGACCTTTCTGGTCTGCGTGATAGATAAATTCGAATCTGATTGGGTTCAGCATCCTCGACTCATCCGAACCTTAATTGGAACTTCCAGGGCGTTCAATAGTATTCGGCATCGTTACAAGCGCGCAGTTCCGAGGCTACATACGGCAACAACGATGCGTTGGTAGGATCGTGCCGCTTAAAAAACAGCGTCAGAACCATGCATAGCCGTGAGACTTGCCAAACGTACTTACGAACGTAGTGTCAAATGGCTTCAGTGCAGGACTCCCTGGCAAGTTGTGGCTGAGAGCACAGGTACGCACGTTCCGGAGGAAGTCTGACTTACGAAAACATGCGGCGCCTGCATCTCACGGAGCATCTCCATCATGACAGGGCTGTGAAGGGGGCTCATCTGTTTGATACGTGCATGTCAACAGAGACAGCTGCGACTTCGCGGTAACCGCTCGTATTTGGAATACAGAAGACCTGGTACAATTGCGAAAGGTCAGATGTGCAACATAGCCCCACCAGATACGAAGCGACTAATTGAACTACTTACGTGCGAGTCACCCTCAACCTTGATACACGCTGGCTTCCAAGACTTGCCATGCTATGGGCGTAGTCAGCGATCGGAACGTAACCTAAGTGCTAGGCATGGGATGCACTGACGAGCCACAGATCGAGTGACATGCCACTGGCAGATTGAGCCAGGTGCCGAATGGATGTGACGAGAATAGCTTTAACACACGAGCATGATCCTCTCGCCCTCGGTATAGCGAGACGATGTCAGTGCATACATAAGTAGCTCCATATTCATCGTAGCACGCTTCTAATGGGGCTGCATCACCACGGCCCCACAGACGCAGAGGGGGACTTTTCTGGCTCCTGGCAGTACGAAGAAACAAATGTCACTCACAACCAAGTTCATTCAGACCCTGTGTGGCCTTGCTCCAAGCCTCGAATATTATTTCCCTTGCCTGCCCCGGCCTACCGACATCGCGCCGGCGAAACAATCTGTTGAGATGGACTCGGAGTTCGAGCGTGTAGACGATGTGGTCCACAATCTGACAGATCGCATGACGGCCGTCCATAATAGCTCGAAGACCTATCTGGGCAAAGCACCGGCACCGTGCGTACGGAAGACATGAAACTCCAATTGAGAAGAGAAGCCGCTGTGGCCGAGCAAGTTGCCAGCCCAATTGTCGCTGCCCAGCCCCGACTCGATCGTGGCCAACACCCACGGGTGGAGGTTCTTCAAGGAAGAGTTGTATTAGAGCGCGAAGAACAGTGCCCTGGGCCTCTTTATAGCCCGTCGTCGGCGAGTGCAACAAAAGTGCAACAGCGGAACCGGGCGTGCCAGTAGACAGCAGCACGTGACGTCCCTATGCAACACACTGATCTGCTGGAATTTCCTGGCAGTGGAATTGTCTCATTCTCGTTCTCAGGCTGACTCTGAATGGTGAAAGTTTGGACTCAAGGACCAAGCTCATAGGCGCTTTCATGTTGTATCTAGATCATGCGATTCTAAAGGGGATGCAATATATACACCAATAACGAGATATTTGAAGTTGTACCACAACGACGGCTAGAGAACCCGAAAGCGCGCTACTCACTAGCAGAATTCAATCACTAGCAATAACATTGCAAACTCTACCCCATCCTGTAAAAGACCATCTACGTGGCTATTGCGACCAGTAGTCCGGCGGAGGCTCCTCCAGCCGCTCCAGAACAGGCACCACCCGACGCAGTTCTTGACGAAGCTGCTGCATATCGTTGCGCAGGCTCGCCAGTTCCGCGTCCCGATCCTGACTGAGCTTGGGAGCAGCGTCTGGTGACTGGATCTCGGGGTCTTCCCTGCCAGTGCTCGCGCTGGGCAACGGCGACGATACGGTAACCGAGCCTGCAGCTCCCAGCGGCTCGGAGGGTCGAGACGAACTCGAAGAAAGCGGCGCGAAGCCGGTTGGCGCTGACCGGTCATACACCGTTGGAGTAGGCGGCGAGGCCAGAGCAGGTGCCGGAACGCTTCTTGCGGGCGCTGAACTCGTCGCTGTATCAGACGATATGACCGACGGCGGATTGCCGAGGACGATGACGGAGGCAGGTGCGTTCTGTGTAACCATCGGAGCCGAGATGGAGGACGGAGTGCCACCGATGAACGATGTGTTCCCCGTTACAGATACTGGACTCGAATGCTTGCGCAGCAAGAGAAGCCGGCTGGGCGAAGCTGTAGCGTCTACGTCCTTCTCCGGAAGTACCGGAGAGGGGTACGGCTCGATCGCGGTAGTCCGTACGCGGCGTCTTCGGTAGAAGAATAAAGCTCCCAGGGCAATTAATATGAGGCCAACAACCCCGCCCACAACGCCCCCTACGATCGCTGCGACGAGTGTACGATGTTTTCCCGATGAATCCGAAGATGAACCCGTTGAGGGCGGCCCTTGCGACCCGTTCAGACGGTTGCCACTGACGTACGGATGTAAGTTCGGTTTAGTATCGCGGAGTATGCTTGCTTACCTCAACACCAGAGGAGCAAACAAGGCACCCTGAGCGGGACTAGAAGCTATGTCAAGTCGCATGTACGGCCCGACTACTAGAAAGCTTACCTTGCAGTGCCGCCAATGTAACTCCCATTGGAGACGCTGTACCTACTCGCAAATGGCGCCGAAGTGACGCTCGACGAAGCGAACTCCCACAGATGACTCAGCATCTGCTGGCGAACACCTGTATCCGTGAGAGCCGCTGCGGTCAATGACATCCACGCTGCAGAACATCAGCGACGGTCCCTGTGAGTTGTTGGTTAGGTCAGCTTACCTGGACTACCGAGAGTATCATGATCGCTATCGAGCGGTAGACCGTAAGTATAGTCTGAGGAGAGGAGAAGACGCATCAGATATTCGATCACTGCAGCTGAGGTGAGACCCTACTGGCACCGGATTGAAACAGTCCTTGGTAATAGGTCGTGATGCCCGTGAAGATCTCCCGAAGGCTCAATCATCATCTCTCGACACGGCGATCAATGCCCTCACCTTTTCGTCTAACAGGTTCAAGCTGAGGAGCGTGTGGGCATACATGTTGTATGACAGCGACCAAGCCGACGACGCGTCCCCGTATGTCGGTATGATATGCGTTGAGTCTGACGGCATAGCCAGCGTTCTCCAAGTTTCGGTGTACTGTGTTGCAACCGACTACACAACAAACCCGTAATTGATATCATATTTGTGGAATGAACGGAGACAGACGCTTACGGAGTAGTGTTGTGCATCCTCGTCTCTTCCCAGGACAGCGCTGATGTTTGCCATGGCTTGAATACCGATGATGCCCTTGAGAGCAAGATTGGTCGAATTGCTGGCTGTGCTCTCTGTATCCACGGATAATCTGACACGGATGTGATTTGATACGCTGAGCCACGATCACAGTAAACATGTCCACTTACTGATTTGCAGGATACAACGCATTCGAGACAAGATAGTCGGCCCACGTCTTCAGCAGAGAATACTAGACAAGGTGTGACTCGGCTACCCATCAACGCGCTGTTAGACCTGACTCACATACGCCTGGAGCAATGTCGAGTCGCTCGAATACGTAGCATGAGCCAAGACCATGATCAGCATGTTGCCCGATTCTGTGGGTCGAATCAGCTGAGCTCAATCTCTGCAATGCCGAACTCACGTTCGATCCCTTCGTTAGCTTCCGCGCTCGGTTCTGACACGACAGGGTAAGAGGTCCCTGAAGGCGCTATGAGAAGAGTAACGCCCGAGGGAGACATTCCATTAACTCACCAATATCCCTCGCAGCGTACTGAGCAGTATACGAAGTATTCTGCTGCTCCAACAGCGGGAGAAGGAACGGCTTCACCATCGAAGCGTTGAAGTACAGAAACATCGGCAGTGCGGCATACAAAGTCTCGACGGGAGTCACTCGGCTGCTCCACGGGTGAGGTTAGCACATGTGAACTGACACTCGTACACTCACCTACTGTAGCCGATGTCCTTCATGAAGAACCTCGTCGAGCCACCCGATGTCGTCAGATCGAGTGCACCATACGTTTGGCGGGCGGCGAGGGAGAGCATATTGTAGTACTGGCTCCCCGAAGAGACCTCCGACGCGGCACTTTGGATCTGGCTATCCAGAGCTTCAGCCCTGCTCAGAGCGTCGTTATAGTCGGAAAGGAAGGTTTCGACCTGATGTGTCCTGCGTGAGTTTAGGCATAGAACATAAACACGAACACTTACGACGTCCTGAGCGTTGGAGTATTGACTAGTATAGTATGGGCGCAGAGTAGTCACGTCTCCTGAGAGCGTGTACTCGATAGACGGATCGCGAACGTAGCCAACGGTCCAGACGACCGGAGATTGTGTCCCACTGACGCTTCCGAAGTCTACGGAAAACGCGAACACGGGCAGGTCACTAGGACAGAGGTGGACATTTCAGTTCGTACACTCACCACTACGCGTATGACATGCTGCGACTTACGTCCAAATTGCACGGAAAGTGTCGTTATCGTTCTTGCTACTGAGAGCGCCAGACCCGTAAAATGTCTCGTAGCAGACTGTGTCTTGACAGCTCTGCCACCCGACACTTTGACCATAACCCTAAGTCGGCGTGATATCAGGTTCCAGTCATCGCCGCGGCACGCTTCGGCACTTACGAGCGACATCGCATAGTAAGCTGTGCCATCGGCGGCTTGTTGGTACTCCTCGTCGAAAGCCCTTGCCTGTTGTAGCTTGATGGCATGGTAGACCATGTTGTCTGTCTGATTGCTGCTCCATTCCGCAACGTATCCCTTATTGGCGGACACCCACTCTGTGTGATTCGAACTCGATTGCTGGTAGGTAAGCGGAAGAAGCCTCACTCACCTGCGCTGATGTCGGAGTAGAGCTGAACATCATGCTGCTTCCCGTCCGTCGACGCAAACTCAACAGCGAGATACGAGAACGGCATCGACTGCTTCACCCAGTCCGAGGGCTTCCAGCGAGAGAAGTCAGGACCATGCTTCCCGAAGCAGCACAGAAACGTACCTCGATCGGGCTCAGGAAGGTGAGCGTCATGTTCATAGGACCTGCCTGGACAGTCTGGATCGTCCGAGTAGGCGTCACCTCTGTGAAGGTTACGTTGCACCCCGCGCCCACTGAGCCCGTCATGTCGAAGTTGTTTCCGAGCCACCGATACGTGCTCCCATCGACGCGGATCAGGCCCACCCACCCAAGGACCTATCCGAGCTGTCAGATCACAAAAACACTATGATTCAGATGGCAGCGAATGTACTGAGCCATTCCAGGAGATGGGGTAGTCGTTCGTCGAGATCGCGGTCTGCCACACATTCAGGTAGGGGCTGCGGACAGCGATCGGAGCTGCAGCGGGCCAGAAGGTCTGGATCTGCGCCTGAGAGAGAACACATGCTATCAAGGAAAGAAGACACAGAAGTAGAGAAAGTAGCATGACCACAGAAAGAGCGACGTCAAGGGCACTCGGCCGCGATGGCTCGACGACCTCTCTGAACGCAGGGACCTGAGAGCAAGGCAGGCTTAATCCCGCCACGCTCGCGCGCTGACCATTTATTTGCGCGCGTATGTGCATGGATCTGTCAATTTACGAGGCGTCGAGCGCCATCACATAACTTACCAAGGAGGCGGTAACTCGGATGGTCCGGAATCGGTATTGAGCCGGATAAAGCCCGTACTAAAAGTACCACTCGTCAATCCTTGCGAGCTTGTTCGGCACACTGTGAGATACCTCAGGGAACCCGAGGCCAAACTGACCCGGGCTGGTACCCATCCGATGGGAGGACGTCGCACCCTTTTACCACCGCACTCCTCCCTAAGTGCGGTGGTAGGGTGCAACTTCCTCCCATCGGATGGGTACGAGACCAACCCGGGCACACATACGATACTTAGCTCCATCTTAGGGCATGTCAGCCGACCAACGAAACGTCACGAACCTCGAAACGCCTGGCTGACTTTAGCCATGGTCGGAAATGCGGACCTGAGCACCAGGCGGCATCATTTGGCAGTGATTTATTGACCTGGGCGTGCATAAAAGCCGCGGCCGACGGGCCCGTGCATTTGATGGGCGCAATGAAGTGCAGCTGCAAACGATAGGACGGTGTAAACTAGAGCCGTTGCATGTTAGATCAGATGTATTGCTTGAGAGCTGGATTCGACATCGCGATGTGCTCGGAGGATTGCAGGAGCCAGGGGGAGCTCGGTCGAGGAAGAAATCAGTCTGTTGGCAGCCCTGATGGCAAGTTCAAGCGGAGCTTTGAGCAGCCACAGACGCGTCACGGAGGCGCTAAGAGTGATACCGGTACGCAGCCTCTACGTACTAATAAGAGTTACTCAGTACGCACCGTCAAAATATAGATAGATGGCCAATGTACGGCGAAGCGGTTAAAGGCGCAGAACCACAATATGGTTTGAGACTGCTTCACCGCGTCGCCGCGTCAGGTTGACTTGTGGCGAAGGGTAGACTCGTAGGTACGAAAGGTTCCCGTCAGCTCACTCATACTCGAGACGAAAGTCGGTGCTGTGGAAGATTCAAGGACTTGACAGGAGACGTGTTACACAACTATGAGATACACTATGATACACCATTTATCCCTCGATATTTATACGATAACAAACCGGGAACTCGATTCAAGCACCGTACTCATTGAGGTACTCCCTGGCGTGCTGTTTAGCTTCCTCGGAAACACGAGGGTCTACAACGCGTCGTTGTCAACCAATCAATCCTCTGTGGAGAATCAAGACTCACTATTCAAAGCAGCCTTGTAACCAGCGAGGACACGAGTCTGATGCTCGTCCTCAGTCACGCCAGGGCCTGGCTCGACAGTGTAGCCGGCGGCCTCGAGCACCTCTCGTGCGTGCTCCTTGGCCTGAGCGGAAGTACGGTCATCTAAGCAGCGGGCAGTCAATGACGCGAGGTCACATCGAACCGCGAGGCTGAACTTACTGTGCAGCGTCGCTTTGTAACCGCCCAGCTCGCGGTTCCGGTGTTGGTCCTCGACCGAAGTGGTTGCAGTGCTACCGTTGGTGCCATGAGCGCCACCGTCGATCCCGTCGATCCCGTCGAGCCTGTCTGCAGCCCGCTCTCGGCCCTCCTCGCTGACGTTGGGGTTGTTGATGGCAGCCTTCAGGCCAGCGGCGACACGAGTGGGATCCTTTCCTGTAGGAGAGTCGCGTCAGAACGGCCAAACACGATGTGCGCGTATAAGGACGCCTACCGTGAGTGGTCATCGTGGTAAGTAGTCTTCTGGTGAAGCGTATAGAAGCCAGAACTTGAACGTGTTTGAAATATGAGGCGAAGTGATTTGGCTGGAACAGCAATAAGACGGGGATATATATACGACCTGAGGACAATGACACGCACTTATGACGGAATACTGTGGGGTTGCTGTCATAGGCCTCGACCCACCCCTCGCTGTGGCTCTCGACCGTAGCGCGTTCCACTTGCCTGGGAGTAAATAGGTCACGGGGCCGCGACGGGCTTTTGTCCCAATGACTTCGAAGCTCCCAGTGAACCGCATCGATGCTCCAAGCTGCTGTGCAGTGGGGCCGCAAATGAGCATCTACGTCCACGTCCCATACTTACGTACGTATGTGGCCTCGTTGCCTTGGCGGGGCACAGAAAGCATACTGAGGTACTGATTATTGCGAGATGCGAGTCGAGTGTCATCGATTGAATCGATTCATCATTGGCCAGGCAGCGTTCGAATCTGCGCCACCTTTCATTCAGGCGGAGTTCAGATGGCAGTTTGGCGCCACAAGCGCGTCTTCCGAGTCGCACCAGTGGCCTCAACCTCGACTCGTTTGCTGCATGATTCCATCAAATCATAGCGACTGAGCATTTCCATCGGCGTGTTTGCTTGAATCATGACTGCTGATACTGCTTTCCCCCTTGGACAAGCCTGTGTCTTCGTTACGCCGTTGATCTGGTCATGGGTCGCATACGGCCGGGTCGCCGAGTCGCACATTCATAATAGCTATGTACAATGACCCTAGTGGCCATCCTACTTCTTCACAGCTTCTTCAATATTGTCTCCGGCGAGGCTCTGAACCAGCCACATTTGAACTCAAACCACCTTGGTAAGCACATACAGCTCCCATGATCAACGACGTCCTAACGAGATTACTTCGACGCCTAATCGACGTGACATTCGCCTGCTGCCTGGGTATATCCCTTGCCACTTATATCATGCGTGTTGATCGTTTGTGTTCGTTGATTGGCCCCATGACCATCAAGCAAATCTGTGGAGATAGCTGGACGAATCATAGAGTCGCAGTGTATCTGCAGGCACCAAGGTCCGCAGGACATAGTCAACTAAGGCTCGCGAACATGCCCTCCGGATTGCAGACACATTGGCACGTAAGTGATGAATATCGGGATGTTCACAGTATGTATAGCTAACGGGCGTGACACCCTCTTGCGGTACATTTGCACCATCTTCAGTATGCCTGCCATAGTGAACATCATGACTCTCGCCGGCCTGTGTTTGGCAGCTGCCGTCCTTTCGTACGTTCTGCGCACACCGCGACGCGGGCCCTTACCTCCCGGACCCCCGCGCATTCCTCTCCTTGGCAGTGCACATCAGTTGCCGCAAAACGACCAGCACCTTACATTCACGAAGTGGGCTGCCCAGTATGGTACGAAAGTTCTTTGAATGAATTACCTTCAAGGGGATTGACGACCGGAGCCGTAGGGGATGTCGTCTACGTCGAAATCTTCACGCGGCCCACGATCATCCTCAGTTCTGTCAAGGCTGCGATTGACCTTATGGACAAGCGCGGGGCGATATACTCCGATCGGCCGCGCTTTGTGTGGTTCCACGAACTGTACGTTACTTGGATTACCTCGACATCCACACAATGAGTTTATGATTCACTCACTGCAGGATTGGATGGACCTCCAACGCTGCGCTCTGCGGGTATAACGAGACATGGCGACGTATGCGAAAATGGTTCCAGCACGCATTCATCGCCAGGTCTGCCGTGGACAGCTACCATCCGGTGCAGCGCCGCGAAGCACGCCGGTTGTTGCTGAACCTCCTACGACACCCGGACGACTTCGTGTATCAGATGAAAAGGTGAGAGTAGCGACATGTCTAATCGACCTGGTACTAATAGCCCTTGAACAGGTATACCGGGGGTATCATCTTTGAGATCGGCTATGGACATGATATCGCGTCGTTGGACGGTGGTAAGTTTGTGAAGCTGACGGAGGATGGTATCAAAGCTGCGCTTGTTGAGAGTAGTACTGGTGCTGCACTGGTGGATTTCGTCCCAGTCTGTGAGTGACTGGGTGATATGTGTCGGTATATGGTCGGCTCATAGCCCTAGTGCGATACCTCCCTGCATGGCTGCCTGGAATGGGCTTCAAGTACTCTGCTGCGAAGGCTCGGAAAGCCGTCGAGAACATGGAGAGGATACCATACAATATTGTCAAGAACAAAATCGTGAGTAGTGCTCGGTTGGATAAGGACACCTCTTGAGCTTCAGCTGATCGTTAGTGTAGGTGGACGGTATTGCCCGGCATTCGTTCACCGCAGCCTTGATAGAGGATTGCTCGCGTAAAGGAGCCCTGACAGCAAGAGACGAAGACGATATCAAGGGTGCCTCAGGTACACTGTATTTTGGTATGTTGCTTTATGGGGCTTCGTGCAGTGGCACTGTTTTGACGCGCCCCCCACACAGCGGGCACCGACTCGGTAAGTTCAAACCGATAAAAAGCAAGGAACGTTGATGCGATCTCACAGCATCTAGTCGTTGACAACCATGATTGTGTTCATCCTCGTGATGGTGCAGTATCCCGGTGCCTTCAGGAAAGCCCAGGAAGAGATGATCCGCGTAGTCGGCGACGCAAGGCTCCCGGACTTTGACGACAGAGCATCATTGCCGTATCTCGAGTGCGTGCTGTTGGAAGTATATAGGTGCGCGGATACTTGCAATCCTACAGATACGGACGATACTGACATTATTGACGGACGGAGATGGTGCCCTGTAGCTCCCCTTTGTAAGTGACATCACTGTCCGAGTCCATCGCTCCCTCGCTGAGTCGCTCTCATCCCAGCTGTTCCCCATCGGCTGACAGAAGATGATGCGTACCGAGGTTACTACCTCCCCAAGGGTTCAATGGTAATTTCAAACCTCTGGTACGCTTGTACAGCCTCTGTTGCGTCTTCTGTGCCCATGATGAATGATCTAGGGCAATGTGCCGAGATCCTGAGGTATATCCAGAGCCGGAAGTCTTCAAGCCGGAGCGATTCCTCGGTTCGAACTCGAGCGAGAATCCCGACCTCGTAGATCCCAGGAAAATAGTGTTTGGCTTTGGCCGGAGGTGCATTTCTAGATCTCCGACATACACTGAGTCTGAAATTGGGCAGGATATGCCCAGGGCGATATTTTGCTGACGATAATCTGTGGCTCGGGATCGCGAGCATTGTAGCGACCATGGACATAACCAAGGCGCGGAACGCGCGTGGCGAGGAGATAACCCCAACACCGAAGTACATCTCTGGTACTATCATGTGAGTCACATTATGCACGGCATTTACTTGTTCCCTCATAGCATGCTTAGGTGTCCTGAACCTTTTGTCTGCGACATCCATCCTCGATCTGACCGGACCCGGCAACTGATTCTCGACGGCATCGCAGTGTTGGATTAAATAGATGCTCCGGCTATGCTACGCGACAAACACGGTCTCGTGAACTCGACTCGATTAGATTAGCATGCATGTAATGTCTACATAGGGCTCCGCCCTCAGTGACAATAAAGGGACAAAACAAACAAACAAACAAATAGATGCTCCGCACATCGGTGATTGTACCGTACTACGTGCGCGGAACACCTCACTTTGACTATACAATCCTCGTATGTGCGTGGTCACCATTGGCGCAGTAAGAGTTGACGCACTGCACACAACCGATATATACCTGCTCTAGCTCGTGTGCATTCTGCTCTTCTCAACAGTTGATGTATACCTCGTATGCCCGGCGTATTCATCTACTGACCGCACAGTCCCGAGGCATCGAGACGCTATGTGCTCATCTTTCCTCTGCACCGGGGTCATGTAACACGTTCTGACGCCTTGCGTGCCTGTCCAAGGGCCACGACGCGCGATGAAGAGTTCTACACAGACGCACAGATGCTCGATCCAGGATGGTTCTCAGGATTGAGTGAGCCAGAAGCCGAGGATAAGGACCCGCTCAGAGTCGTGTTCTCTGTCGAGCTGCGGTTGATGAGTCGTCTATCGTATATTGTGCAAGGATGCTATTGGCTGACCACACTCCGCTTCGCTGTGCACCTACCAGGCCGTTTGTGGCCAACTCCTGCATGTTCCTTGCGGACGCATCCACTACCAAGAAGACGCTCGGTCACAAAGTGCTCCTTCCTGATGTATCCTTCGGTACTCGGTTTATAAGGCAGGTGTTTGCGACTAGAGACGGAGTGGTGCGGTACTGACGCCGTTGTAGACATCCTCGGCCTTCCTCTACCACCACGAATTGAAGAAGCGGATAGCTTGCGCGGGTTGTTCGTCCAAAGGATCTGTGGCAGCAGAGAAGACGGGACGAGAAGCTCGTAGCGACGCGAGGCCGGTGGACAATAGTTGTCCAGCGGGGACGATCTAGCTGCGGTGGACCCTCACGCGGACGTGCGCATTGTGTTAGAGACCGCAGCGTGGTTGACTCGGAACGGGGGCGCCAAGGGAGGAGGATGACTTGCAAGGGCGAGAAGGCAGCTAGGAGACGGTGACAGTGACTTGCGAACCCGAACGTTAGGTCCGGGATGGTATGGTTCAGGCAGTCTTAACAGAGAGCTGTTGTCCAAGATCCAGGTTCTGTCTCTAGCTTGCGCACACTGGTGTAAGAGGCAGCAAGTACCTTCGTCGTGTCAGCGTGATCCAAACATCTTCTCGCATCGCATTCAACTACGCACCTGCGCAGCATGTCTTATTCGCGCAAAATGCAGGGTAAGCCTTTCGAGGACGGTACCGAGCGGTGAGTGAAACACATCGAGAAACTCGACGAGCGGCTGCAGCCCATGATTGGCGAAGGCTTTCAATATGAGATGTTGAGGAGGCCCCAGCCTGCGTCGAGCGCGTAGGGGGCATCGATGTCGAACAGTAGAACTGAGCAAGAATGCGCGTAGTACTTATAAGTACTGTGTTCGGCAAGGTTCGGCATCGAGGCGCGCAGTTGCGATCGATCGGTGGCTGCGTAGACTCACTGGCACCTGGGAGACACTGGCGTACGCCCCTCTCCCACTTACGTCCTCGTTCTCTAGGACTGCCTTAAGAGCCGCAAACTTTCTGTCACATGGCTGCCTCCCGGGCTTTCCAGATAGAAGATATCATTGAGGAAATTCTCGATCACCTATACCCGTGGGACGGGGTGGAATACCTTCAAATTCGTGAACGACGGAAAACACTGGCATCATGCGCACGCGTTGACAGATTCGTCCACGACATCGCTTTGGACGTTCTCTGGAGGAGCATGCACGATCTACGACCTCTGCTCAAGGTTCTACCGGCCTTCCAGCAGGCAACGGTCCATAAAGACTACCGTGGTCGTGATACTACTGAATATGTGAGCCCTCCTTTATCCTGTGACTTTAGCCACATCACTGACAAAGTCGGCTAGACCCTGCTCGGCAGGCTGTCTTCCGAGGATTTACATCGTTTTCAGCTGTACGCGCGGAGGATCATCAGTCTCGATATAACGCGAAGCCCTTATCTAGTCCGTTGCCATTCATCCGTACTACTCTCCTTGTCCAGGGCTCTGGGCCACCAACCGCTATTACCACGACTCCGAACGCTGGCCTGGACACACTATGATGTGACCGATCACGATGTTCTCTACTTTGTCTCGCCCTCACTCCGATCCTTGACCTTCCATTTCACCGGTGCTTCGGGAGCAGTTGTCAAGAACATGGATTCAGTTCCATGCAAATTTCTTTTCGAGGCGCTGTGCGAGCAGGTGGCTGCTGCCGTGCCATGTCTCGAGAAATTGTCAGTGTTGTCGGATGCCTCCCCCTACTACTTCATTCCCTTCGGCAAATGTGGTGGTCTGCGAGAAGTAACCATAGGCGGACATCCAAGTCAGTGCGCGTATCTAGGTGTGCTGTCTTCCTTGGACAATCTGACCAAGCTGGACGTAAGGCACGTCTCCGAGCTTGGTCAGGATGTTGTCCACTGGGGGTCTCACGGGTTCCGCGCTCTCAAGGTGCTTTGCGCTGGAGGCAATCCTCGATCCATCGGCAGCGTCCTCATGGCTTTTGCAACGTCGGATATCACCCTATTGGAGGTCACCATCGACCCCTGCGATCGTCAAACAGCCACTGACTTGTTGAATATCATCAAGTCTCAATTCAATGCGGCGCTGCACAAGCTCGAATTATTGGAGCTACCGCTTCAATCGGCCCACGGTGGCTCTGGTTCGCCCCTGCACCCTATCCCACTGATGCTCGGCTTCCACAACCTACACACCGTCAGTCTGTCTACTTGGTCGAAAATCGCTTTCTCCGATGAGGATCTCTGTACACTCGCTTCCGCCTGGGCAAATATCGTCTCGCTGCACATTCGATGGATGACTGCGGGAGATGTGGTCATGGCGAGACCCACTCTAGACTGTCTACCGCGCATCGCGAGGTCATGCCCGCACTTACGTAGGCTGGACATCTCGTCCATGAACTTGACGTTCGCGGCGGGCCTTGACACATACCCGATCCTGTCACACCAGCTCGACTACCTCGATATCCACACGGGCATCTCAAACAGTCAAAAGACCGACGTGATGGACGTCGCACTCTTCCTTGACCGTCTGTTCCCTTTCCTCGACGCAAAGAAGCTGCGAAAGTTATACATTGACGAACAGCCGTGGTTGGCTCGAGTGTACGATCGGCTCCAAGGTCTCCACGCCGTTAGGATGCAGGATACAAAACGAATGGTGGAGGGCAATGTTTGACGAGGGTCAGCGAAATGTTCAACTGGTATGTGTTGGAATCCTCGTGATTAGGATGCTCGATGACACAAATCCTCGTTAGATAGCTGCCGTTGTATGTGTATATCGTGACAATGTGGCTCAGTCGATGTATCAGTCTATGGCGGCCCGTTTGTTTCAATATTCAGGGCGCACGAAATATTGTAGTACTCACGAAAAGTGTATCTTACTCACGAAAAGTATATAATATGCATGTTCACGAAAAGTATGGAAACACTCACGAAAATGACGGATGAGCATGAAACCTATACGAAATGAACACTGACGAAAGTCGGCCTCGCACGAAATGCGCGCGCCCGTAACGCGAGTGTGATTCAGTCACCCCTTGTCACGGAGTGTGACGCGTGAGCGCGCGGCCTTAGCACACCTCCAGCTCTCAGCGTCGAAGATTAAGAGATGGAACTTTGTATATATGTTCATTGGATGTAATACACGCATTCCGTGCACAAAGATATTGTCGGGAAGTCGTGCTTCCACCAGGAGTTGAGTAACATCGCTGCAGTCGCGCGCCACCGCGCGGGCGCTTGTGGCCGCACCGCGCCTCGACTTCAAGTTGCCCCCACTAACAGTCTGTTCTTGCGCAGCTTTGAAGAATAAGTAAAACTATGCGAGCAGTGTGTTGTATCATGTAAAAAAACATTTATCAGTGACTCACATAACTTGGGAAAGCACCCGATTGCGAGTGACACTTGCTAACAGAATAGATGAGGATCATGTGACCGTGTTCAGTGTTGAACGCACCGGACGCGTCTGCTCGCGTCCTCGCTTTGAACGTGTTTTTACCTTCGTTACCCTTTGCTCAAGGTATGAACTCGTGTCTAACTTAGATATCACTTACCCATGTGCTTTGAGAAGACCTCGGTCATGCCTGAAATTCAGGAGTGCTACTGCAGTGGCCTCCAACTGCAGTCATTCCATACTGCGAACAAGACGACCGATTGGCACCTGATTGCGTTATACTGCGATGCAACAAAAGACGAGCCAAAGGATCCCAGCTCCCCTTGGGCTCGTGGTCTTGTTGGAAAGCTCAATGCAACGTCCAAAGCAAAACGCGGCAATACTAGTCATCAGACGCCACTCTGGCCACCATTCCTCGCAGCTAATGCTCCACCAGCAGGCTTCAAGCTCGAGGATCTTGTCCTAGCAGAAGTACATTACACGAGCCGTAGCATCGTGCTGAATTTCGGCCACTGCTGGTTCCAGGTACGTCTCGAGTATGGATCATAATGTGTACCGCTTTGTAACGTCTCTCTTGCGTCTTGCAGTTGCAGTATCTTACTCATACGTCAATACAGACCTATCACCGCCAACACTGGGAGGTTTTGAAGGAGACTTCATACATTGGGAAGGGCGAGACAGCGGTGCGTACTAAATTCTGAGGATGTCTCATCCAATAGGACCAATACTCACAGTGATGTCTGTAGATGCGATCGTTCCGCATCGGTTTGGCGATGGAGTTTGAAGACTTCGTCATCGCATTTGTATCCCATGATCAAGTATTCCAGGTGAGCTGTCATTATCATTACATTAAGGCGACTCCGAGTCAGCAACTAATTGAGCGCATGAATAACTAGGTGACCTCATCAGGAAAAAACCCTCTCGTGAATGCGCCGTAATACATTGTTATTCTGGGGAATCGACAGTAATGACGTATGTTCCCGAGTTTTTCGAGAATAGCTTTTGTTAGCTAGTCTCCTCTCTTTGAAGTACGAATGGATACATAATATGGTGCATTCCGGAGCATAACCCACCATTACTGTCTCATTGACTCGGAGTACTACGTTGCTAGCATATTCCCCAGATGCTATGACAGTTCGGAGACAGCACAAATTGAGACTGAGTAACATTAGATGCATTGGGCGATAAACTATGGAATGCGACGAAAGCGACTCGAGAGCAATTAAGTACTGTGCAAAGCACTCGGAATGATATGGAATTATGTATGGAATCTCCGAATCTACTCGTCGGGTATGTCCTCCCAGTCAATGCTTGTGCCACCGATTCGCATGCTCGAGTGCATGACATGACCGGCTCTGTATACACAACAGGTAAGACAGGTGACTCCGTGAGTGAATCAAATGCATACGTCGCAGCCTTGAATATACCATGCATAACGCGGTGATAACGTGTCGGCCGCTGGCGGCGGAATTCAGTGAGGCGCGCGATATGTTCACGGTAAGCAGGTGCACTCGGGGCGCCGAATTCAGACGCTTTGCTCATGTTGAGGTTGGAGTCTGATATCACTGACTCGACCTGGAAAACGAAAACGAGTCAAGAGAAGCGCCAATGGTGACCACTGGACTTACAGCAGTCATCGCCAAAGCTATCATTTCCCGTGATACCTCATACTCTGAGGGTGCGGCTTGCATCGAAGACGAGAATAGGTTGCTATTGCTCAGTCCAACATTGTGATACTGCGCATTGGTGAAGAAAGCCGAGCGCACTGCTGACTTGATCACCGGGCTCTCGTAGAGAGCACGTCTATCAAAGCCATCCTATAAGTTCCAGAGATCATTGCGTCAGAAGCAGATCACGGCGGGGATAATTCGTACGCACTGTCGATGTCCACGGGTAGATGTAGCCCATCTCTTTGAGAAGCGAGGCCTTGTCGGGCACGGTAGAGTCGTCTTCTGTATGATGGACAAGCTGGAAGAAATGTTCAACGCACGGTGTTATCGCTTTTTTGATCGCGCTCCGAAGCAGACTAAGTCGATGAGCAACCTGTGACCTCGGAGATACAAGTTAGTAATCAGCAGTATAATCGCAAAATGAACTGACGTAGGCCCTCAGTGGTTTGGCATAGTCTTCATCCGATCCAATCTCCAGGCGCTGAGCAATGTCTCCGTGGCCGCCATACCCGAGACCATCTGCCGCCTGAACAAGGGCCTCGTATGCCATGCGATCAAGGCCGTCCTTTTCGAGTGGAGTGAGCATACTATTGACGTCACTGAAGTCCGCCGCAGTCTTCAGTTGCCGGTCCTCTTCACGGCCGAAAACTACCATTTGGTCTCCAAACCCGTAGCTGAAGTGAATGAGCTGTATAATGACAGCACTCTGAGGCTTGATGTCGATCTTGACGCTGTGTTTGCGCCTGATGATCTCGATATCGGTCCGTGAAAGCCACTTGATCGTCTTGACCGTGTCATTGGCTGGGACCAAGCCAGGGTGGCGAGACTTCATGCGAGCTTTCGCCTTCAGAGCGACCGGGGCCAGACGGATCTCGGGCACCTAACACAGGCTCTACGTCAGCCAATACGGTATACATGGCTTCGAATGCCATACTTCTGCCTTCAACTTCGCTTTCTGCTTCTTTGTGAGCTGAGGAAATGCATTCATGTCAGTTGTGCAATCATATATGCTTATTTCGCAGCTACAGCGTACCTTCCCGGGCTGTTGTCCACGCGGTACTACAACTGGGTCATCGGACTCCTCGTCACTCAGCTCAGGAGCACCAGAAGCAGACGAGGTTGCATAGTCCGACTTGCGCGTCTCGCGGTTGCCTGGGGCCGATTTGAACTTGGGAGCGGGCACTGCCTCATCGTCGCTGTTCACAGACTCATGCATGACGTAGTCTTCGTCGGTGGTTGGCGGCTCTGTGGCATATAGTGAGGCGACACTCGATGAACGTGATCCTCTTGACGACTGCAAGCCAGAGGGATGTGTGCTTGGCACATCATCTGAGTCGACGTCTTCAAGAGGCTCGGCGGACGACTCCATGCCTATTGATCGCATTAGTATGCCACCATCCGGCAACACTGGTATGAACGGTGCAGCGTCAGTGTCGACTCACCGGAACCCGTGATTGTCACTCGCTGATGGCAGACCATTGGCAAGTCAAAAGGCGGCGTCGGCATGAGATGTATACGGCGCACCTCTGAATCAAAGTCGTCACACTCTTCCCGTGGCTCTACCTCATCATCCTCATCGCAATCCTCAGCCACAAGATTGTCGGCACCATCCTGGAGGGTCACGTCTTCACCGTCATCATCAAATGACTCTTCGTTCTCGTGAGCTGCAGTGCCAGACTGCCGACTTGTACCGGTCCCCTGGGTCTGCGAAACACCGGCACGTCTGGGCTGCGGTGGTGGTGGTGGTGGCACTGGCGAGTCAGAGTCTGATCCGTCATTGATGATGGCGGCCTTGTGGGGTCTCTCTGGGTAACGATGTATCATCCCAATGGTGAATGAACTCGGATATTCTGCAAAACGGCCGACTCACCCTTCTTGGACATCACTGGTCGCGAAGTGCTGACTTTCGCCTTCTTGCTTGGTTGTTGCCCCGTCTCCAGCCTTTTCTGCGCGCCGTTTGCCTTGTCACCTTTCGCTTTGTCACTAGGACCCTTGTCGATGGTCTTGGTGTTGACAGACTCGGCTCTCTTGCGCTTAGGATCCTTGTGCGTCTTCACGGATTTGTCGGCGCCAGTGCTTGCTAAAACGGGTAACTCGGAACTGTGAGCGCGATGTACGATAAGGTACCATATGCTCTGACTTGCCCTGCGTCTGCATCTTCACTGCTGGTTTCCTCACTACGGTCTTCGTGGCTGGCTTTGGCGTGATGGTCTTCTTGGGTGAGTCATCGACCTGTTTCTTCACGTACGACGCCCATGCTGTGTGTTGCGTCAGTCGAGTTCAGGTGACAGACACGGCGATGAACTTTACCGTCTGAAGCAGTCTTAGCAGCAATACGAGTAGGTCGTCCCGCTTTTGATATGATGTGAGCTCACTGATCATAAAGACACCATTGGATCTAACCTAAATTTACGTCGGGCTCTGCATCATGGACACCTTCAGGTTCGCTCTCGTCCATATCGACCTTTGATCACTGGCCAACACGACTTTTAGCGACCCCTCTAATTGACGACATCCAGCCCTATGACCGCACGCCAGCAGGTAAGTCAATTGATGAGCAACTCGACACAATTGCTGATGATAGGACGTTAGCTAGGAATCAGTGGCTCGCTAGACCAACACGGCAGCTGCGAGATGTATGCCAGTGTCAGGACATACCAGGATGATTGCAGTCCAGGTCTGGTCAGTCGAGACTCGGACGACTGCAATGATGGTTGAGGGATAGATTATGACTGGTGAGTAGAATAAATGAATGTCCGTATCGAAGGAAAGTTTGACGACTGATGCAGGAAAAGAGGGCTTGCACAGAGATGTGCAGGTGAGAGTCGCGCTGGCATACTTAGGCGCGTGCGCAAATACGTGCATTACTCGGCAAGCAGTTGCTCGTGACGCTGACGAAGCTGTACGTCCTCTTGGTGAACATCGATCTGCCTAACACTCACCGCGACTTGCACTCAGGCTAACATTGCTATCCCTACGACTTTGTACATTGGTAAGCCATGCAACTTCTATCCCTCTGTACAGTACAATGACGACTCTACAGATTCTCGTGTAATCTACCCAAGCGCAGAATGTCATACAGGTGCAACGGCTGCACAAGTACCTTCGCACGTCACGGCACATACATCCAACATCTCCAATCCAGTACGAATGCTGCTTGTCAACTCGCTCGCCGGCAGCAAGCAGAATCCATGCGCCATCCCACTCGCCGCGCGAGTCATAGGCGTTCTGCACGTTCACACTCACGAGGTCGATCAGCAGCTGAAGCTTCAGAGTCCAGCAGTGTTCCCGGAGAGGCTGATGCTGAGGATGAGCAGGCCGCATTCGAAGGGGACTTCTTTGGTTCTGCAGAGGAGTATGGCCATGGAGATCTCCCGTTTCCTCGGGATGATGGCGACACCGAGGACCACGTCAATGTCGACCACGACCCGGTGGACGAGTCGAGCGATGACGAGGGATCTGAGGAAGATGCTGTCGGCCGTGATGTTCTCCGTCCGAGCAATGAGGTCCAGCGCGATGGACATCCGCTCCAACCTCCGATTCCTGAGGTGCCACTTCGCTCATCTCCTGCCTCGAACGCAGACGACGAACACGATATGGCTGAAGGGCAAGTTCCTGATGATGCTTCGCAAGCAGGACCGAGCGGCGCACCTGGTGGACTGGACCCCGATGCTCACGAACAGATCCGTCGAGCACCTGCGTATGTTGTCCCATTTGGCGGCGCGGCTGGGGCTCCTGTGCCGCCAGAGTCTGGACAAGCACCCGAGGCAGGCTACACCGAGTATGAGGGCACTGTCGATCCTAAGGCTGCAAATCCATATGCGCCTTTTGCCTCGAAGATGGACTGGGAAATCGCACACTGGGCGAAACTGCGCGGCTCTGGATCAACAGCGTTCTCCGATCTACTCGCCATACCCGAGGTCTGTCATGCGATTCCTATGCTCATTTTCGTGGCTCACTTGTGTATCTATAGGTCCGTGAGCGGCTCGGGCTATCCTACAAGAATTCCGATGGGTTAAACAAAATCATCGACGAACAGTTACCGAACCGACGCCCGATGTTCCACCAATTCGAAGTCACCATCAATGGCGAACACTTGACATGTTCAAACGCGACATACTCGAGTGCGCGCGTGCTCTCTGGGTGATCCGGAACACACGCAATACCTGTGTTTCGCTCCGGCGCGCCACTATGCTGATGGCGACCACACCCTGCGACTCTACCACGATCTTGATACCGGGGAGTGGTGGTGGGCTACACAGGTATGCTATAGTCTTTGCGTGCTCGAGTGTATTGCGGCTGAGCAGATCTGATAGAAAATTCTCGAGAAGGAGAGACCTGGCGCGACTGTCATGCCCATCATCATCTCTTCCGATAAAACCCAACTCACAACGTTTCGGAGCAAGTCCGCATATCCAGTGTACCTCACCATAGGAAATCTGCCGAAGGAGATCCGCCGCAAGCCTTCGCATCGTGGTCAAATTCTTCTCGCGTACCTGCCAGCAGGCCGACTGCAGCACATCACGAACAAAGCTGCCCGCCGCCGGACGCTGGCAAATGTATTTCACGCCTGCCTTTCTATGATACTCGAGCCTCTTCGACAGCCCGGCGTCGACGGTATCGAGATGACAAGTGGCGACGGGGTAGTGCGCCGCTGCCATCCTATCTTGGCGGTGTACGTCGGGGACTATCCAGAACAGGTTCTCGTTACGGGAACCTACACTGGAGACTGTCCTATTTGCAAGTGTCCACACGATGAACTAGGGGATTACCCTTGTCTGTCGAGTCCTCGTGATGTTGATGAGGTGTTTGCTGCCCTCCATCTCGCCGGTACTGCCGACTACAACCGTGCCTGCAACATCACGGGCATCAAGCCCATCCAACATCCCTTCTGGGAGCATCTCCCCTACGTCGACATCTTCCGATCCATAACGCCCGACATCCTGCACCAATTACATCAAGGCGTGATCAAGCACGTTCTCGCATGGATTACAGATATTGTTGGCAAGGACGAGGTCGACGCGCGGGTCAAGCGACTGCCACCGAATCATAGCATACGCGTTTTTCATAAAGGCGTTTCCGGCCTATCGCGCGTCACAGGCACTGAGCATAAGCAGATTGCTCGCTTCATCCTTGGCCTCCTGATCGATGTTCCGTTACCAAGGGACGAGTCCGCAGACCTGATCAGTGCAACGACGGCGCTGCTGGACTTCCTCTACATGTCGCAATACTCCGTGCACTCGAGCGCAACTCTCGCCGCACTCGAGAGCTCGCTCTCTGTGTTCCATGCGAAGAAGGACGTTTTCATACGGCTCGGTGCTCGTAGTAATTTCCTCATCCCGAAGCTACACATGCTAACCCACTACGTCCGAGCAATCAAGCTCTATGGAACAACAGATAATTACAACACGGAGGCGACGGAGCGCCTCCACATCGATTTCGCAAAAGAAGCCTACCGTGCGACGAACCACAAGGATGAATTTCCTCAAATGACAAGATGGCTCGAACGCCGCGAGAAGGTCCTTCAACACGCCAACTATGTCGAATGGCGCCTACTACGTGTGGACGGCAGTCATGAAGATGCAGTTGCTGCGCGTCGAGTGGTACGGTGGCGGCCGCCAGACATGGCGTGTACCCTCCAACATGTCATGACGAAGTATCCGAGCCGTAAGGCCGTCCCTATCGCTGAACTCGTCTCTCCTGATGGCTATGGTGCGAGTTTCCTCATACCGGCTCTGGCTCGCTTCGTCGTCGAACATACCAATCCTTCCCTGTCGCGCAATGAGGTAGAGGCTCGAGCTGCGCACATGCTATTCCCTTTCTCGACACTTCCGGTATTCCACAAGGCGAAGTTCCGCAACGTCGAACACCATGGCAAGGAAACTCTTGATTCTATACATGCTCGACCGCGGCAATTGGGGCATGATAGCGAGATCCTCATACCTGCTCGTTTCGATACTGCGCTCGTGCGTGTGCGGCGGGTTGATGATCAACTTGAAGCAGACCGTCGAATTGGTCTTTCAGGTGTGTCAGTCATACATTCGTCTTTTCATTTCACTGATACTGTGCTGTAGATACACGTGCGGGCCGCGTCCGCGTAATATTCTCACTCCCAGAGAAGATACTGCGTCAATGGTTCCCACCAGGGACTGCGCCACAGTGTCCGCGTCACCTCGTCTACGTCGAATGGTTCTCCAAGTTCGCGGCCGCTCCCGACAGTCATCATCACATGTACAAGATCAAAGCTTTGACGGGGCCTGAGGGGATAGCATCGGTAGTGCCACTTGCAATGCTCGAACGGAGTGTCCATTTACATCCGAAGTGGGGCAGTCCAGTACCTGTGCATTGGACGAGTGAGAATGTTCTCGATAACTGTAAGACTTATTATCTGAATCAATACAAGAGCCCGCACGACTTTTATAATCTATACTAGTACCACAATACTACTCATTCGCGCATTATTCTGAGACCACTGTCTGCGAGCTTGTGAATGCAATTAAATACGGACTAATTACAGAGCTTCCAGGTATTATCACGAATAATCGTATGTTCACGTCAATTCTCGGGAGAGCTTTTTCCTGATGCTGGGCCTTAGCCAAGGCTGGTCTCGCGCATCATGACCTGCATGTCCTCGATGAGTGGGACAGTGTTCTCAACACCATTGCGACATGGTGTCATCGTTATTATCCCAGTGGAAAGGCTGGCAAACGATTGGCCATGCACGTCTTGCGTACGACTGGAGACGTATGGTTTGGCATAGGTGTGTACACTGTCTGCGAAATATTCTTCCTAGCTGGTCAGTATGTTACTGTATCGTGTGCGTAACGATATTCTCACTGTGACACCTTCAGGTATCTCGCCTTACCTCCGAGAAGGGGAGGTGTTTGGCAATCCATCACGTCTTGCCCGCTTGGTACTGGCGTATTATGCATTTGTGCATAAAGCGGTTACCAAAACATGGTGAGTATATTTCAATTCCGAAGTTATGCTCCGTGCACTCAACCTTTAGTACAGGGTAAAACGAGTCAAGCCCTGCATTCGAGACGGTGTGGTTGCAGCCACGGTCGAGGAACGGCTTCGCATTGGCAATGGGATGTTTGTCTGGGCAAAAGATAAGGCAGGTGTGTCGCAACGCCTATTTGACAGTGTGCGTGCGCACAATTACGAGGTATGATTACTGTTTGTGAACACATCATACAAAAGCCAAAGTCTGATACTCTCAAAAGGGGGCAACATCAAGCTCAGATGATCCATTTGAGCCGACATTCATCCGTGCTGCACTGGAGCGTTCACCTCACCTTGGCCGAATTGTCTTTGGCGATCTCTGGGGCAGCATTGCGCCTTCTGACCTCGCAAATCCTCGGACTCCTCCCGACGCATTGAGCAAATTCCTAACAGAGCTCAGTACGTTATTGATGACCTTTTCTAGTTAAATCTTCACACATGAATACCCTAGAGTCACGATATGACACTCGTCTCGATTCCAAGAGCATGTCACCACTCTTTCTTCCTGACAGTGAACTCTGTCGTCGTCGCACACCAACATACCGCTATCAAGTCGCTAAAAATGGTGTCTGGTCTATTGTACCAGCGCCCCGTTATCCGTACGCAAACACCGCTTTCCTTTCGCTTCTGTGGTGATATCTGAATATACACATGACAGGCAATTCAAGCGGACGGACAAGGAGACAAAACTTTTCCGTTACATCGTGCAGAACACAGCTATGGTCGCAGTTGGACCTTTGGAATATTGCGCCAATGCTCAAGTGGTGCGCAAACCATCAAAGATTCGTACTCACAAGCCTGGTGCACGATTCTAGTAAGTCGTATACCATACTAGTTGTTGCGCCATAACTGATGACCTACCACTTGTAGTGTCCTGCCCGCTCGTGGGGCCCTTCCTGATAATGTCCCGCTCTCACTCGGGCATCGTAATCTCACAACCTTGGAGCGCAAGAAGTCCATGACGCCGGAGGCCCGTGTGAAGCGGAACAATGCCGCTCGGGCTGCCGCTCAAGCGGCTGCAGCCAAGGCAAAGCGAAAGTCGAAGAAGAGCAGAGGCGCGGTTGAGCCTAAGCTAAAAGTGTTGACAGGTAACATTCCACTCACTGCACAGCAGCGCAAGGCCAGGACAGCTCAACTGGAGGCTTTCAACAATCAACCACATGTTATAGCGCGCAATCTAGCAGCTGCATCAGACGTCACTCGGGCCTCTGCACCTCCAGAGACAGTCCGAGTCGATGCCACCGCTCCTGTTGAGCCGCCGATGAAGCGCCGGAAGCGTGCAGAGCAGGAGGTGTTGGATAACCAGGCAGTTGTTCAAGAATTGCCGAGGACACGCCGGACCCGTGGCCTTGTACTGAACATGACCAAGCATCCTGACGATGCTGCATTGGGTATTAGACATCGCCGCCATCACAGTACTAGGCAATAGCAGGGTGTATCATAGCTACTATGCACTCGTAATGCCCTCGTAATCTAGCCACGTCCAACTAGCCACTTCCGACTTGCTTAGACATGCAATTTTTTTCACTTTGAACTTCGGATCGGATCGCAGTACAATGGCGATGTTAACGTGTAATTGCTCACTAATGCGCATACATGTATGCTAGGTATTCTACAGCTATCCTGCAAGGGAACGTGCGTCGAGATCTCGCACAGCCCCGTGTAGTACCTCTCACGCAGACACCAATGTGACGGTGAGAGGTTCCGAGGGCCATGGAAAGTCCAGGGAACAAGGTTGACAATGGAGATGCGGACGAGGACATAGATGTGTTAGACAAGGCCGCGGGTAAGGATGGACTGCGGCGGATGCGCAGGGCGCGTACCGCACCCGCGACCTGTACCTGTACGGTACAACCTGTACCCGATCCCCTGCTCACGCTCGCGCGTTCCCACTATTCGCTCACGCGTCCCAGCCAGCTATTTGCCCGCAATCCCCCGTCCCCTGCCTGCTTCCCCGTCTACACACCACCCACACGCCCACATGCCCTCCCGCCTCGCTGAGGCGCCCGCATCCTCGCTCGTCCTTCGCTTGCCGTTCATCGGCCGTGTCTGCGTGCTGGGCATTCGCCCAGCACGCTCGTGGTCGGTGTGCATGTACGGTGCGGTTCTGGCTCGCGCCCTGTCCCGTTCTGTACCCACTTGCCTGCCCGCTTGTTCTTCCGTCTGCGCGTGCGTTCGTCAGCGGTTTGCACGCTGAGCATTTGCCCAGCGCGCCCGCGGTTG